TGCCAAAATGAAAGATCATAATGTACAAAGGGATTTTATGAGTGAAAATCGCATCATTTACTATTAAAGGGTATTAATTAAATTTTTTAATTTACGAAAATTATTGAAAAATTGCAATAACGGGGATAGTTCTTTTCTGAAATATTCCATTCGTTTTTGTAGTGAAAATAGCAATGTAATTCGTGTTCTTTCAAATGTTGAAATGCAATTTAAATTTATTAGGGAAACGCTGCCATTGATATGTTTAATATTTTCGGTAATTAATTTATCGAAATTTATCTACTTTTAGTTGTGTGATGCCATTTTTATTATCATTATTATATTATTATCGATGATTTCACGAACTGAATGCTGTGGAAAGTAAATTAAAAGCAAAAGTAAAGTAAAATTGTAAAATTTCATTTCAAATAACGATTAGAAAGCACTCCACGATGGCGTTCTTCCCCTTCGGCAAAAAGTCCTCGAGTGCTTTATTATTATATAATAATTCAATTCAATTCTGTTTAAATACCGTACAAGTTATAGCACATTACTGAATTGTACGCTTAAATGTTTCACGTTGTTAAAATGAATTGTATTTTTTCTAACGAAGGAAAATTAATATATTACGTTCAAAACAAATTTAATGTCTTCAGAATTATCTTTTACAGATAAGTGTGAATTTTTGGTAGATAGGTAATTTTCAGGTTAAGAAACACCACAGCTCTTCTCTTTTCTAAAGCAAATCAAGTAAATCCTCAAGCATTAAAATATGCTTAGAAAGTAAGATATAGTTTACGAGTTCTGTGCCTTCAGATTTAATTCTCGATTAGGGATTTTAAAGAATTCCTAACCTGCATTTTATCTGCAATGTGAGAATATTTTGAAAATTTTGATATGAAAATTGGATCAATATTGATTTACTCATCATTTCAAGTAAAAATATTCGTCCATTCTATTTTTCCTCATGAGGGAAGAAAAAGTAATGAATTTCGATAAATTGAATGAAAAACAGCAATTAACACCGGAAATTAATTGAAATGTTTAGCAGCTTAATGTTTGAGCATCTGAATGAAACTATGTGTTCTTAGTCGTAAAACTTCCCCTTTTTATTCGGACCTTGAAGTCATTCAAAGATCCCTAAGCCGAACGGGAAATCTCTCCTTTCCAAATATGGTGTCATAAATTCTTCGCGTTTCCTGGACTTAGAACGGCATTTCGACATGTGGGTGGGGCAAAGTCCTTTCATGCCACAACTGCTCAACTTACGTCAATGATTTTGTGTCCTTAAATAAAGAAAAGCATGTATTGTGGAGTTAGTAATTGATACTTACGAATGATTCCCCCCTCCAGATTATTAATGTAAAAAATAGAGGGAAAAAAAAAAAAAAAAAAAAAAAAAAAAAGATCCGCCATTACCTTTGCGAATTTGCAGTGTCAATCGTACTTCTAAATCCAAAATTTTGCCGTCTCTTACCCTGCCTCCTGGTGCGACTGCACAGGTTGTAAGTACCGTCGTTTTTTACATTGTGAATTCAAACATGCATTCATTCAAACATGCAGATTCTTCCTTATTTAATTTCTTTAGAAATAATACAGGGTGAAATTATTTGGTGGCAACAATTTGAAAAGGGACACGCCGTTATATAATCTGATTAGCCGATGAGTATCTTTAATTCGTGATGAAAATAATTTCTAATAATTTCTCTCCGAAGTTACAATTTTTATCAGAATCGAAACGCTATAGTGACAAGCTATAGCAAGAAACAAAGAAGTTAATAATTGTTTACATACAAACATGTGTATTCTTATTTACGCATACACAATTTGAAAGTTTGTTTAACAAGAAGGAAAAAGTTTAACAAATAAGATAAAAAGACGAGATTATCATTATTTATTCTCAAGTTTGTCTACCTTGGTACATTTTCACTGAAAACTTAGAAAGTTTACACAGTTTGTTTATTTTTAATTTAAGTTATTCAATGATTAACTAAACTTATTAGAATTATTTGAAAGAAATGTCAGTGTAAGAATTTAATATTCAGTTCTCCATCTATTTGAATTACAAAATATAACCAACAAAAGTGTCTTGCAGGTATCAATCTTTAGATTTTAGACAGAAAATAAATCGAAATTTGGATTTTTTAAGCGATATTATCATTATTGTTTATGTTGTTTTGATAAATATTTAGTAAGCCACAGTTTTTCAAATTGTGTATTCGGCACGCGTGCAATTTGAGTTTGGGACCACAGGCCTAAGATTCAGAAAATGCTGCAACTATATTATTACCTATATTTATTGCATTTTACTACGAAATGACACGAGCTATTGTTAAAAAATTCAAACAAACAAACAAAAAAAAAAGTAGAAATTTATTCGAGAGGGGGAACGAAGAATCATTTCAGATTCTTGTATAAAACTACAATTTTTAATGAACAGTTCAAACTTAGAGTAGGCTTTTATTTAAGTCGTATAATGAAAGACAACGGAAAAATAAAAAGTTCTATTAACATCAGCTTGCCAACGTAGTGGTGCCATCTATCGAGAAAAAAGTAAAGTAAAATATGCTTTCACATTACCCGCGCAAATTCGATCTAAAAGTACTGTGAATTCCCGCATCTGTTGAAAAATGGAAATTTTTTTCCTAGCGTATCTCAAAGTTAAAGGCAATGGAATTCAAAATATAAAAATTGTGTTAAACTAATACTCCAGCACAAGCTTTTGCAGTCAATCTGTCAGTAAAATATTTCTTGTTTCCGAAGGAGTAAGCTATTTTTTCATTAAAATGAAAATAAAACATTGAAACTTATTGATGGGAAGAAATTATCTAAGATTCTTGTATTAAATATAACATCAGAATTATTCTGCTTTTAAGAGTGCTTTCAAAGTTAGAATTTTCACCAATTTCAGTTTCAGTTAAGCTGAAATTGGTGTTGAGGTATAATCACAATGGAATGATAACCTTAACAAATATAAAGCTTACAGCATGCCAAAAAACTAGCTCAGTGCAGTTTTGTTCTTTCCTAATTCATCCTCAAATCAGAAATACTCCCCCAATTCCATATTTCTGGTTTCATCCACACTCTGGAAATTTTTTTTCTGATGCCATGAATATCTACTTTCGTCCACTGAAACAATTTAGAAACAGAGGCTCCCCCTACTTTGACTGAGCTGATCTTCGATTTCTAATATTATTAGCCTAAAAGGAGCTATCAGTCTTGAAATGGGATTTTGCGTCGGTTCACTATAAACAACGAATCACTTTTTACGTTGCTGCCACCAAATATTCCCACCCTACATTATTTTAAAAGACATTTAATAATGAAACATTTGCATGAATGTATGAACTTTCCTTTCATTGTGAAAACACACTAGGGCCCTTCAGTTTTGAATAACTCCATCCGAACATGTGCATTTGGAAGCACGAATTCTGAAATTTGTTTCTATGTTATTATATATTTCATATTTTGTAAAACTCTAACCATTTTTTAATTACCATACTGAACGATTTCAAAGCGAGCTGTGGCAACACTGTACGGAATGAAATATTTTTACTTCCAGCGCGCGAGACTGTCTATCGGAAAATATGCTATTTCTAAGTAGCATGTGATTTTGGTGTTGAATCAAAGTTAATGTTTCGAAAATTGTGATATTTAATAAGTAAGTGCGAAAAACGTGATATTTAATAAGTAAGGTTACCAACGAAACATTAATAATAAAAATACACACGCAAAAAAAAAAAAAAAAAAAAAAAAAAAAAGAAAAGGTTAAGAAAACTGATCACTGATGTGATGGATTGAGAAAAGACTGAAAAAAGTAGAAAATGTTTGCCAACACTTGACAGTACATCGAGAACTCTAAACATATGCTACTTTAAAATTTTTTTTATTTTGCTATTGAAATTAATTGTATATGGCGCAAATACGAGGAAAACGGCGCTTAATAATAATAAGAGTGTTAGGATGAATGAGCTCAAGAGCAGACTGGTAGACTGCGAGCTCTGCAAGACTGCAAAAACCTTAACAAAGCCTTTTGAGCGGGTGGGAAGAAAAAAAAAAAAAAAAAATCCTGTTTTTAATTAGCATTATGTTAAAGATAATTTTTGTAAGCGCATAAGTCTGCATTTCAGCATATATTGGTACTATTTCAAAGAAAGCCGGCAATGATTCAATCCCTAATACGTGTCATCTAACAAAATTTCCATTTAAACTACCGCATTGGCCCAAATACGTAATGTTTTCCTTTTAAAATATAGTTTTGTAAAGCACAGCCTAACTTACGAAGATAATTTATCAATTATCTTTTAATTTGTATGTTAAAAGCGAAAAATAGTTACTCAGTTTTATTTCAAGACCTTTAGACAATTTAGTTGTTTTTATTAAGGAACATTTTTGGAATATCAAGCTTATGCATGGTCGGTTTATTCGATTGTGGCAAAGAAAGCGCTCGAGGGCTACCTGCCTAAGCGGGGAGATGTCTACGTGGAGGACTTTCGTAGTCCTCCACGTAGGTAAGGATTTCGAGCTAAGGATTTCGAAGCTAAGGATTTCGAAAGCCTTTTTTTCTTGGCCTCGTATACATGCTACACATGGGAATAACCACGAAAACGCCCATACAGCCAAACCATTTGTCTAAGAATAGAGTTTCTCCCGTAAAACATTTACGATAGATATCACCTTATCACATGCCTGTGCGTAGTCTGCAGCGAAAGTATTACGAATGTAGTCTTATTTTATGCGTGATGCATCAGGACAGTATGATATTTCTTTTGAACATTTGATCTTTCCTTTCTTCTTTGTGTAGTATATACTTAACCTCTTACTGCAGTAAACAGAATTATTTCTTTCTCCACTTTCTCTTTGTTGATCGAGTAGACTGATCATAAAATTTTTTTTTGCCCAAACTCAGTGAAGTTTACAGCAATCTAAGCAAAGGTTAACTGAATTTTCTATCTTTTCATGTGGATAATAAAGCTTTAATCATTATATAAAAACACTCCAAGGGGAAAAATTGAACATAATAGGAAATTGAAATGCACTTTATTTTTCATATAACTTAAATAAACAGCCGTCACAAAATGGCACATATATCATGGACCATTTTCTTAACTATTTCAGATTTTTCAAACTCATGCAGTGACTGTGAATGTGACTGCCATGCCATATCTCATATGATCATCCACGTGGCAATGTAAAATCCATGTTCCTGGATTGTCGTTGATCATTTCGACTGTCTCGAAATATCCGGGAAAGAGGTCGACTACATCTCCCCTACGGACAGTATCGGATCGGATAAGGAATGTTTGGCCATGGAAGTGTGCTGTGTGTAAGTCCTCTTCGCTGCCCATCCCTAAAAGATACCACGCTGTTTTTGTACCATTCCGTGCCACCAGACCTTCTAACGTGCCATAGATTCGACCATTCACAGCTGCAAAAAGAGCACAGTTTTAATTGCTATTTAATATTAAAATGAATTTCACTAAACATAAAAAGTTTTTGAAAATAATGTTACACATAATATTACACGAATTAGTTTATCAGTTGCATAAATTAGTAATTTTTTGCATAATCTGTATTGACAAAAAAAAAAAAAAAAAAAAAAAAAAAAAGTTAGGTAATGAAAGCAGAATTTTTTTTTTTTTTTTTTTTTTTTTTTTTGGTCATTTGAAAATTTGAAAAATTTTCAAGTTGCTCTTTTGAGTCAAAGGCTGTCGAACAATCACTAGACAGTGTTATTTTGTTCCCGAACAATACAGACATAATGGGCATTGAATACAAAAAGCTAAAGCGAAAAAAAATTACCAAGCAGGAAAATTGCACATCTTCGACAGTTTGATAAAATGTGAAATTTACTTTTGGAACCAACACGCTAAAAAGAATAACCACAGCAAAACGCAGATTTAGATCAGTAATTTCCAATGAAGACTTTAGGGATGCTATTGATTTATGTATGCCGCACTGGTTCGAATAGAAAATAGCTTCAATATATAAGCAAACACCGCTTTTTTGAAAATGTTTTACACAGTAATACAGGATTTACAAATCACATAGCTTTTCATACGCAAGCTTGATATATGCACAGCGTTGTTCAGGAAACGCAAATTAAATAAATGATAAAAAAAGAATGTAAATAAGTTTTATTTAAAATAATTGTTGAGGGATAAGCGACAAATTGTCTTAATATGCTTTTGAATGTAAGCCTGCGTATTAGGTATGGCTTTAAGAAGACATTTTTAAACTAAAAAAATTACTTTATATATGCAATGCGGCAAAAACATTGATATAATTATACAGTATTGTTTAATCCTGAATACAAAAAGAACAGTTTGTCTCTCAAAAAGCATTACGTCGTAGTTATTCTCTGTGCCAAACGAAAGCAGAATTTTTGCAATTATTCATATTAAAGTTAATCGGCTGAAATTGCACGTATTCTTTTAAGCTTGTTTTCAACTTCAGCCAAAACTATCAAGAGCTTGAATATTGTGCAAAGTCGTGTTCTTCACCTGATTACTGGAGTAGTTAAGATTACTATTATCGATTAGTGCCATGAAATTGCTCACTAACGTGACCTAATATGAAATACGCAAACGTCTGGCAGTTTTACTGCCATTGTAGACTACTACATTGTAAACAAGATATTGTAGACAAGATATTGTAGACTACCGGAAAAGTTCTAATTTCAGGGATCCTATAAATTTTAAGACTCAGCTGAAATTCAACCAGATCAGTTACCTTTTTGCAAAAGATCTTGTTATGACTGAACAGCATGGCCATATATTTGGACAATGATGCCCTGTAGATTTTAGTAACTTTCAAGTAAATATTAATCTTGTCTTAAAATTTGATAAAGGAAAAATACGTGTCTCCGCAACAGCTCAATTGCACTGTAAATCAATGAAAATGTAATGTCAATGTAAATCAATGTTTTCTCAAAGATCAGTGGATACAAATTTATACTGGCGGTTCAATGAAAAAAAGGGCACATTGACACCGGAGGATAGCGAATCTTTTCCCCTTCACAAAGCAGTCGATAACAAACAACGCAAAGCAGTTTTGATTGTCAGGTGGAAGCATTTCATACCTCTTTTGACAGCTTTTCTGACACAAAAACCACTTTCCTCCAAGCCGTCATCTTTGACGATTCTAGATTTGTTCTTCAAATGTTCTTTCTAATAACAAAAGTTGCAACCAGAAGAGATATTTATCATTGCCGATATTTTCCGAATTCTTCTGCTGATTCTATAGTATTGCAATAGGTCCCGGTTTATTATGAAGCAGAATGAAATGATAGTACAGATTTCCGGCAAAGAAACAAATGACTATCCTACAGAAACACGGAATTTTATAACCTTCCATTCTGTTAAAAGACTGAAAAAAATGGAACTAAGTAAAATTCATAAATTAAATTTTCATGTAAAGGGTAGGGAAAAAGCTTGGTTAAGTCTTCTGAAAAAAATCATCTACTTCGCATTAGACTCTGGAAATCTTTAGTCTCTTTATGACTCAATCCATGAACAGAGAACATTTAAATAAATAAATAAAGTTAGGGAATTTCAATTATTCCTTTTTTGGAACTCCAAGCAGGTTAATGTATTGTATTTTGTAGAAAAGGAAGGCTAATACTGCTGGAAGGTAGAGCTCCTTCTGTCTGGTTTGTTCTTGTATACCTGTCTCACGTTTTCATTGTGGATTGCAATTTTCTGACTGAGATGATATGTTAATGTGTCAGTTCATCTTGTGGTTCCTAATTTCTCCTAAATAGGAAGATTACTGTTGTTTTAGTACTTCACAATATGTTTAATACTCAAGTGCAAGAAATCAAACTGCAAAGTTGTTGTCATTACAACTCTGTAGTGTCCAAGTTTAATATTTGTGATGTATAAAATCGTCAAAATAGTGTAAAAATATCCGGAATGGAAGTTTCTTGCAATGTTTCCTTAATTTTCTCACCCAGGCTTGGAGAGAACCAATTCACAAGTTTGGTATTCTATGCAAAGTTATTGCATTTGCTATTCCATGCAAAGCCGCAGCTATTTTTGAGAATTCTGTTTGGTTCAAGTTCTATTCTTTATTTTAATTGAGCAAAATTAATTTCTCGCAGGGCATTAAGGTCCTCATAAGCAAATAAGGAATATTAGTAATTGTCAAAAGATATCAAGTCCTATAATTTAATGAATATCAAAGCTATCATAAACGCTAAAGTGGCAAGTAGAAAAAGGAAAAGAATGAAAAATAAGTTTTTAAACGCAGTTTTTTACTGTATATGCAAAAGCGACAATATAATTAATAATACGAGATTTATCAGACTAACTACTTATAATGTAAGTCCCATAAAATTTATTATAAGATTAAATAGGCTATAATAGTTGAGAGATTATATTTATTAGACTAAAAATAATAAACGACAATATCATCAAGAGTAAGATATTTATTAGACTAAATACTTATAATGCAAGTTCCATAAAATATATTATAAGATTAAGTATGCTATAATAGGTAAAATACACTCTCAGGAAAAAAAAAAAAAAAAAAAAAACACCTATGCACTAAGAAGGAGTTATCCGAATGGGACGAAAATCCGTAGAAGGGATGTACATGTACAGAAAAACAAATGATTACAGTTTGAGAAAAATTGGATGATTTATTGAGATGATAGAGCTTCACAAAGTGAAAAAGTCAGTAACGCGTTTGTCCACCTCTGGTCATTATGCAAGCAGTTATTCGGCTTGGCATCGATTGATAGAGGCTGCGGATGTCCTCCTGAGGGATATCGTGCCCAATCCTGTCCAACTGGCGTGTTAGATCGTCAACATCCCGAGCTGGTTGCAGGGCCCTGCTCATAATGCTCCAAACGTGCTCAAAAGGGGAGAGATCCGGCGACCTTGCTGGCCAAGGTAATGTTCGGCAAGTACTAAGACAAGCAGTAGAAACATGTGCAGTGTGGGGGCGGGCATTATCTTGCTGAAATGTAAGCCCAGGTGGCGTAACCTGAAGGGCAACACAACAGGCCTTACAACTTCGTCGACCTACCGCTGTGCTGTAAGGTTGCGACGGATGACAACCAAAGGGGTCCTACTATGAAAGGAAATGATATTCCAGACCATCACTCCTGGTTGTCGTCCTGTCTGCCAGAAGACAGTCAGGTTGGTATCACACCGCTGTCCGAGGCGTCTCCAGTCTCGTCTTCGCTGGCCATCGGAGCTCAGTTCAAAGCGGGACTCATCACTTAAGACTATTCTAGCCCAGTTAGTGACATTCCAGTGCGAATGAGCTCGACACCACTGCAAACGGGCTTGACGTTGTACAGAGGTCAATGGTAGTCGGCGCAAGGGGCCTCAGCTCCCTTTCTGTGAGCCGTCTATGAATGGTCCTTGCGGTCACTGAAGCACTAGTTGCACGTACAATCGATGATAATGATACATCTGGGGCTGTGAGTGCCACTCTGACGGTTGCTCGGTCTTCACGTTTTGTTGCTTCTCTAGGCCTACCGCTTCTTTCTTGACGCTGTGTGCGGCCATGGTTCACCCATTCCTGCCAACATCGTCTGATAGTGGCATCTCTCCTGCTCAAATGTCGAGCTATTCGCCGATAAGACCAACCGGCTTCTTTGTGTCCAACTACACGACCTCTCTCAAATTCTGACATCTGCGCATATCGCTCGCGCACCTGTATGCTAGGCATAGTTATTATCTACTAGAGTACACAGAATGAAATTCTTGAAGAATTTATGACCTGGAATCGTAATTTCTCCTCATAAATATCCTGCCAGTTGCGCAGATCAGATGCGCTGTAGCGACAACCCTTCATTCATTGGAAGACAAAATGCAAAATTTTGCATTTTCCATCATTGGAAGACAAAATGCAAAATTTTGCATTTTCCATCAATTTGTATCCAATTTGCTTTATATCGTCTAAATATAAGCTATCTCATATTTAAAAGATTCAAAATATTTTTTAAGGAAATTGTATTATTTTTTTTGCTCTAATTTATGTTAAAATTATAGGAATAATTAATTTTTTTTGTATTTGTAAATATGCATTATGCAAATTAATTTCAGAATAAACGATAACAAAACATACATCCTTTAAAATTGGAAATTTATTTAATGTAACATTATTTGCTTCTCCCAAATGTTAAATATAAAGAAAGTTAAGTATTTTCATTATTTTTTCGGTTATAAAGGAGAATAATTGCATATGTAATAATTTTAGTAAAGATACAGAAATTTCTTTAGAATAAGAATTAGCTATTTCAACATTAAGTTAAATTCTGCTGAATGTAGAAACGTATAGTTAATGAAATCAAAACCTTGAAAATTTCCATTACATACATATATTAAGAAACATCATTACATATTATATTCTAAAAGTAGCAAAATTGCTTATTACCATGCATTCTGTTACTTGTTCTAAAATTTCTGTCATTGGGATTGACAGAATAAGGTTGTCTTGTGTATCTCATGATATTTTCCTGCAAGTACCAGCTTTCGTTCTCATCAAAAATGGTGTATAGCACTACAAACTCCTGTTCTGCATCAGTTCTTGCACCTAGAAAAAAATGAAATCATAAGTAAAATTATCATTCACAGTTTCATTTCTATGGGAAAAGCTGGAAAATTTGTATTCACGTAATAGCGCTGATTTAATCATTCTAAAGCTACGCTCGTTCTCCGTTTTAAAATTCCTTACACAAGTAAATCCTCGGTACGCAACGCGAATAAAATTGGAAGGTTTCGGATGATAATTTGCATATTTTAATAATAAGATAATTCTGTTAAACGTTTTATTTTCGATCCTGACATTATTCAGTTTAAATGAGCAAAAATTTATTTTCAAGCATAAAGTGCTTTCTTCTGACATTAAATTATATGTTTCAGCAAAAAAAAAAAAAAAAAAAAAAAAAAAAAAAAAAAGGGAAAAATTGCAATGTTATAAAACTACAATTTTTGATTTCCTCACATCATAATTCTCAGCAAACGCACGCACTCCTTCATCAGTTTTTCTGACAATTGTTAATTTTGTTTTGGTTGAATTCAGAGTTATTTCAGAGTTATATTTACAAATCAAGCAGCACTACAAAATATTTCTATACACTTCATAAGATTAAAGCAGATCGTCGAAATAACTTTAGAAATAATTAATAATATAAGTAGAAATAACTTTGGAATAAGACAGGCACAGACTATAAATGATAACTGAACACAGGAAGAGGAATTATGCGATATATTAGAGATCAAAGAACTCATTATAGAATGCTAAGGAAACAAGATTTCACAACATTTCACTCATTGTATTTTATTTTCTAATAATTTGTAGATAGCCTGTAGAGTTTCCTTGTTTTTTTCGTTATCATCCAGTGGCAGACCCTACTGAAAAGACTACGCAGGGAATTCTCGTTATGTATTGAAAGAATAGATATTTCAGAAGTTTTAAATAACCTTATAATGTTCCAACCTAGCCTAGAATTTACAACTGAATGTGTGGAACCTTGAGAACTGGTAAGCGAATAATCGCTTTAGTTCAGGAGACAGACACGTAAACTTGAGATGGGTTAATTACCCTTTCTTGCTCAAAATAAAGTTCACAGATGGCCCTTTCTCAGGACGTACATAAAAGCCTCCACTTGGGATTGAACTCAAGAATACTAAGAAATAAAACTTAACTAAAAAGATATAGCCGAAGCTATTAAAATTCTACAAGAGTTGGCACCTTAAACGCTAATAGCGTTTAAACTATCAAGGGCCTGAAATATGGCCGAGCGTAGTAATAGCTTAGAGAGAGTGAAGCCAAAAGGCAAACGCGCACTCGTCAGAATCTCTGGCTCTCTAACGAAGTCAGTGGAACTTCGACTTTTAAGTACTGCTCTGCCTTTATTCGCATTTAACCGTGATTCTAAAAACACATTCTGGTAGGAAATTGTAAGCTGAAATTAGGAACGACAGGAAAGTGGCTTTAACTAAAAATAACTGTTAACAACTTAGGATAAAACTTACAACCATTTTATTTGAACTTAACAGAACGTACTTTCTCAGTGCTCACAATTTACCACCACCTGTGGCTAAGTAACTCGAACAGAAAATAAAAATGTAAAATCACTATAAAATAAGATGGGCTATAGAAGTGTCTCCTTAATTATCTAAACCGCAAATTGGCTGCACACAGCAAAGCTTAACCTAGAATATTAACTTAGAAGAAGCCAAACAACAAAAAATCAGCGTTAGATTTTCAAATTTTTCACAGGACTAGTTTCGATGGTTTTACCGAACCATCATCCTCAGCTGCAAAAGCGTAAATGTACCAGGTAAGATATAATAATAAGATAAGGAAGTCTGGGCAGGAGATAAGCTACTGGCTCCATCTGTTGATGAAACCAGAATTTAAACATAATTTCTTTAAAGGGTGAAGGCAAAAATAGATTGAACTTAGGGTCGTTAATTAGAACAGAAAGATCTTTTTGAATGTGAAATGTGTGTTTTCGGCAGAAAGTGTGATTTTTCGGTCACACTTTCTGCCGAAAATCACACAGTTCGGAAATCACATGCAACAGAAGTTTTCTCTAAAACAGGAAACACAGAAGTCTTCTGTTGCTCAACATTGTTGGTCAGAAAATCACCCTTTCAATTTTTCTGCTGCCAAAATTATTAAAAAAACATCTTCCATTGGTGAAGTGGATTTTCTAGAGGCATTTCACATTCAAAAAAATCTTTCGGTTCTAATTAACGACCCTTATTCCAATCCATCTTTGCCTTCAACCTTTAAAGAAATTATATTTTAGATCTGGTTTCATCAGCAGATGGCCTCAGTAGCTTATCTCCTGTCCAGGCTTTCTTATTTTATCTTATTTAATCATTATATCTCACCTGGTATATTTACGCTTTTGCAGCTGAGGATGATGGTTCGGTAAAACCATAGAAACTAGTCCAGTGAAAAATTTGAAAATATAACGTTGATTTTTTGTTGTTTGGCTTCTAAGTTAATATTTGTTCGGCGTGTTATTGTATCTTAATTAACCTAGAATGTCAACATGATCTAAAGAGAGTGGCTGAGCACCAACTATTCACATCAATTTGGAACTAACTCTCCTACTACTACTCTTAAAACCGCTGCTTAAATACGGATTTCGAATTCACTTACATTTGCATACTACATCACTAAAAGTTACATTCTGGAAGGAAACTGAAATCAGAAGAGAAAGGAATTTATAAGTTTCACAACTAAAAATAATTGGTTAGACCAAAATAAAGTCTTTACTAGTTTATTCGAATAATTGAAGCTTTTAATTTTTTTCACGTGGGTCATCTCAATCTGCATCTTATGTAAATAAAAAATTGTAACACTCATTTCTTTTTTAAAGTAGTAGCTAAGAAACTTTAAAAATTTGCGAGTTTTAAAAAAATAAACAGAAAAAGCGTTTAGATTCTAAAGTAATTAATTTGATTTCTTTCGAGGAATTAAATGCATCTCTCATGTTTTCTTGGGTTAAATCTTCATTTCGTTCAGGTAGTAAGTAAAACACCTCGGGTTAAATTTTAGACAGAAACACTTTTTTTTTTTTTTTTTTAAAGATTTCTTGCTACATTTTCTTTTAATGCCAAGAATAGGAACTCATTCAGGAAATTATTAAGAAGCAAACGCAACTTAAAACAGAAACGTTTCGTTTCCAACAAATGCCTTTTTATACCTTCATTATCCTATTTTTATTGCAATTCAATATTTCGTTTACATCAATAAATATGCCTGTGATACAAATTTTATTTTGAATAATTTTAAAGAGCTTATCACGATCGTGATAGTAGAAATAATCGATAATGATAATTATGATCCATAATTAAACGAGATTGTCATGATATTTTAAACAGATAACAAAGCAATGTAACTCACTTATTCACATATTTCTATTTCTTTTTGTAGAGTTTTTTATCCCTAATGATTCCAGCATATGGTTTAAGAACTTTTGATTTGTGGTACATTAATGAGATAAGGATAAATAATAATAAGTAAGTAAAAAGGATATGTTCGAGAGTAATAACTAGAATCAATTGAAAATTCTCACCAGTACATTTACTCATACATGCTTTATAACTTTATAATTTCTTCTTTCAGGTCTTCTCTTCAGAAATGATACATACAGACGAACTATGATATCCACTTTCAATTTTTCAAGGGGTAAAATTAATAAAAACATGGCCTTTATGCAAGTAAATATTCTAAACTGACCTTTCGTTTTAAAAATTAATTTAACTTTCATAGATTTCATTAGCCCTTTTCGAAAGCTCTATGTTTAAATCAATTCACTACGGATGGACAGCAAATTAAACTAAATCTCTTTGCCAGCATTTTACTTTGGAGACCGTTACATTGTAGAATTATACAAAATTTAGATAATTTTTATTTAGTAAAGGAAATTTAGGCACAGAAAGCAAACGATGTCAAAAAATTGTGATTAGATGAAATTAACCAAAATCTCGGTAACATATACGCCATGTCATGGTTAGAAAAACAGTAGATGTTATTACCTGATGAACATATAAGAAGTGATTTGGAAGATAACAAATTTACTATATCTTTGATAAACAGATTACTATATCTTTGATAAACTGAAGTTACTATACCTTTGATAAACAGATTGCATGACATTCTATTTTATCTAGCTCTAAAATTGATATAATTACCACTTTCTGTCAAGATGCCTCGACGACATATCACCAGAGGACCAATGAGTCCAGCGTTAGTATCTTTAACAGGATCCACAGCCGAATAGTAAGCCCATGGTGTGCAATTGAATCCATTCGGTCCTGGTCCGGCTGTTTCTGGTACCAACCACTCGTAAACCATTAAATCTCCTGGAAAAACTGGATCTTCGTCCGATCCTAAATTTCTGTGATTTTTGTCCTGGCTGTGAAGAATTCCATGCGGATGAAAAGAGTAAGGTCTTGAAGCCATGTTTCTGAATGTCACCCGCAAAAGATCTCCCACTTCTGCTTTGATCATAGGACCCAAAACAGCAAGATGACGGGTTTGTGGAGCCTCACATTTCCTTGTTGTGAATGTGGAATCGGTAAATTCTCTGAAGACAGCTTTCTTATATCTTGTTCCTATGCGGTCATTTCCACGTTCGACAAACGTCTTGCTTTCTCTAAACAAACACAAATTATTTAAGATAAAGTATAATTTTATTACATAGTATAAATGAATTTATTATTCATTTTCATAATTTGAATGCGCTTAGCGCAGTTAAGTATTATTATCAGTTATTATACATGTCCTTTAATGTAGATCTTTGACCTTCAAAATAAGGTAGTGCTTTTCATGAAAACAATTTTTTCATGCAAATGGAAGGTATTAGAAATGAGAAAACAATATTTTTCGCGTGATCTCCATATAGAAAATATTCCAAATTATAAAATGTAAATTTTTCTTTAATAAGTTAAATACGAAACTCTCATACCTTTAAGTTCATTATTCGAAGAAACCTACATAATTAATATTTTCTATGAAGCAATAATAATATTTTCTATGAACAAACCCGCATAATTAATATTTTCTATGAAAAAATTTAATTACCAGCGCTATATTTTACCCCTTGGACTTTACAGAAAAATCTTGATTTTAATAACATTCAACAGTAATAACATTAAAGAGTGTTGGTAACAGGCACCGAATAGGGATCAATATCATCAAATTTGTTCTTGCTATTTTAGCGAATTTTGCATCTAAAAATATGATTCGTTTAATGTATTAAATTATAATTAATCTTTTATTCATTGGCATATTTACATTTTTGCACCGAAGACTATAAAATATTAGAATTTATAGTTACAGATTCCCCTTTTCGTTGAAACAGTTACTAAAATTTCAGCTATATTTCGAAAATGTTTTAACAGGAAATAATGTCTAGGATCAACATATAAGGCAAGAAAGACATCAAGCTTCCATTTCGAAAATTTTAATATGTCTAAAATTAATGTTTATTTATTTATGTTTGCGATTAAGCTGAAACTTGTTTTACCTGGAAATGCCATTTATTGCGAAGTTGTTATCTACTGGAAAATATTCGATATTTTCAGTCGTTCAGAAGTAATTTCATTCTAGGTAGTGAGTGGTGTTTCATCAGCATTTTGTATATCTTACCTCCGGATATAATAGACCTTTTTATTAATTTATGGTTTCCTTGTGATGTAAGTAAAATACTATTAAGATATATACCTAAGGTGTGTAGAAATATGCAACAGACCAGCAGATTTTAAGATTGTTTTTACCTTTTGTGATAACCAAAATAATATCTCCAATATTTAGTTAAAGACCTCAGTATTCCTTCTTTAAAATTTAGAAAGATTATTAGAATATTAGTAAAATTTCTTATTGAAATAAAATACTAAGAAATGATAGTAAGAAAAAAAATCATAAGTATAGTCTTGGTAAAATTTGATGCAAAAATTTAATCAATTAAAAATGAATTGGTAGATTCATGTTTGTATGAAGTTAGACAAAGTAACATATTTAAAACATATTTTGTTTATAACCAGTTATCGTATTAATAAAATGTTCCTCATAATATTAAAATCAGTCAGTAGTCTTAAATTGAAAATTTCTTGTAGATACTATAAATTCTTTCAGAGATTTTTCAGTCGTTACATTCGTTGTCTTATTTTATGTTGCCCCCCCCCATTTATCATCCATGCAACTTACTTTGCCGTACTTTTACAGTGCTTAGCTAAGGCGCAGTAATTTTGCAGTTGCATGGGAAATCAGTAAACGTAATTTCGGGAAAAATCCGTTGAGTTATAGTTGCAACTAACGCAATCACCTGTCGAACTTTTAATGTTATAAATTAAATATTTATGCATAATCATTATTAAGAGAAATGCACTTAATTGCGTTGCCTGAGTGCGTGAAGATCCGCTCAAGAGACCTAATTTTGTATTGGAAATTATGAAGACGAATGGACTTATGGATCTAATCTGATTCAGTTCAGAGGGATTAGTAAGCAGAAGAAAAACAGAAATATGAACTCTAACTATACTGATTATTTATGGATCTTAAATATTCAAATAATTTATTTAGAAAAGAAACGGGAGGCAAAATCACACTCTTTTAAGCTCCAGAAATTTCTTTTATATGATTAACTATATTACTGTAAAATTTAAAAGTTTAAGAAAATAGCATAGTTTAAATTTAATTTCAGTCTCTTAGAGGATTCTTCAACAAAAATGCTTAGATATATTATTCTCAGTAAAGGAAGTTCCCGTCATATTCTTGCAGTGTTACTCCTTCCTATCAATACGAATATTACAAGCACCATACTAAATTTGATTATTATTATGCTAATGAAATGTCAGTTAAATTGTAGGTTTATCATCAAAATCAGTTTTTCTTAAAGTTTCTACAAACTGACCATAAACGTTCACCATAAACTGACTTTTATTTTCCCTATTAGTTATTATTCTGAAAACAGTTAAATGCAGATTTGCATTTAAGTTGCTAAACTACACTTTACTACCAATCAGCAAACAGCATTTCAAATTACCGGTAATTACCATAGCAGCATATCTGCAATATTAATTATCACTACCTATTCACTTGTCAGAATTATATTATATATAGATTATGAGGTGTATGAGACTCAGGAATGAAATATATATATTAAGCATGTCCCTTGAGCCCCTGAAATATGATCCAGTAGAGAGCAGAGGGCTGATGCTATTGAAATGCAATTCAATGTTAAATGTAATTGATTCACATGCGCATATTAGTATTCCCTTTAATAATAGTGAAATATATTAAAATGATTTTAATGTACTTTGAATTAGAGACTAGCAAATAATAATGCAGAAAATATCTGCATTTGTATAAATTATTCAGCTGCCAATTCGGTTAAGCGTTATTAAAGATTAATGTAAGTTGTTCACTACAACTGTTTTTTGCTGCAGAGTTGCACTATTGTTTTTTAACAACTCGTTAAGTAAAAAGAGAGTTTTCACAATTAAAGCATATATAAACTGTTTTACGCGAAGTTATTAATTTATAATGAAGAAAACCAGGAATAATTAATGCACACGTAAATTTAAACACGTTAAAGAACAAAGAATCAGTAAATAAACAATATGAGTAGAGCATATAAAAAAGTTATCTATTAAAATGTTTTCTTAAGATAAAGCGTGCATGAAAGCTTGAGAAGACAGATATAAATATTTATTAAAGTAGGAAAGTATAAAACTGCAGAAGAAACGAATTAAACATTTTACTTTATAATTTCCTAAGTGTTATTTTAATCATAAAAGTGGCATAAATGAATTAAGATTATTTATGAAAGCAAAGTTTGTCATTATTTCCTGAGATTTTGTCTTATATAACTGTGAAACAATTTATTAATACTCTTATCATTTATAAGCTCATAATAACAGCAAAGACTAGATCATGATAAGTACTTAAAGATTAAAATATTTTCTTTCATTCACCTTGAACGTCATATTAATTAATTTGACTGATGTGGCATGTTGGGCACGGCAGATATCATACTGTCTGCTTACATTTTGAGATAAAAAATTTATTTGGAAAGGAATTTTAATTACAATTCAGCGAATCAACAATCTTTGTTTGGCTTTGATTTTAAACAAAAGCAAGAATTATTTTGAGAGCCAAAAGGTACAGGTCCTTCTTCATCAGGAGCAAAGAAATTCTGCAGAATTTCTTTATGTAATGATTTTCTGTGTACCTGAAAATCAATAGAGTCTTGATTGAAATCTACACAGAACACGAGGTTGTTGCTTTACCTAATTGTATGTTTTATTTGGCGTGACTCTATTCTCTCTAAAATTTTACATATTTAATTTGGCTAAATTTATGTTTAAAATAATGCAAAAGAAAATGCATTACATATTGCATTACATATTGAGATGTTTTCTGCTTAAATAAGGCAACAAAATCTGTTATAATTTAAAAAATTCCTCATATTAGGCAAATAAAAATATAGTTTGTTTAATATGCTAATGAAATGGAAGACTAAACCTTTTCTGTAAGAATTCCTGTTTGCGTCTGTTATGTTTTCATAGTTCATAAGTGTCATTTTACTTGATACTGGATCTGTGTCTTATCAACGCAAGGCTCACCAGCGGCCGAGCGGTAAAGTCGCTGAACACTGGTAGTTCGGTCCGAGGTTCGAATCCCGCGAACGGGCTGGCTGCATGGGTAATTTAGTGTTTTTCCCCATGTGTAACGTGAATGCGAGCCAGTTTTCCTTAGAAAGTCCTCCACGAAGGCATCCCTCTCCTTAGGCAGATAGCCCTCGAGGCTTTGCCGTAATTAAATAACCTAACCTAACCTTATCAACGCAAAATGCTTTAAGCTAAGAAAACTGATATGTATACAATAAACCACGGACATATGGTTAGTGTAAACAGTGAGGCTAGATATTAACTTCATAATACAGAAAAAAAGCGATTTTAGTTTTTTGGCAGGATGCTAATTTTGTTTATTTAATTTTTCATACAAATCAAAGCACGGTTCGTCTATGCTTTTAAAACTATCGCATAACTAATATGCTACAGAAAATGTGGGCGAAGTGGTACGTGAGGTATTACTATTTTAACTTATAAAACTCTATAAAATATATAAAAAAAGGTAAACTTTCTCTACGTTTATCCAATTCTCAGTTCAATAAATTTCAGAAAACCCACCCAGATTTGTATATTTTTTTATTGCAGAGTCTAAAACTGCATTTGCAGGTAGATTATATATAAAAATCAAGAGCTTGACAATTCCTATTATATCTGTAATGTTGGCTTTTTACACACGTGTGAGATGAGTACTAAGCTTATCTCTACATATAATAAAAGAAAGAGTCTGCGCGTGCCTTTTCGTTCGTGCTGCGCGTAAGCTAATAGATCCAGGGCTGCGAAATTTGGTATAGGTGCATCTAGACAAGAGCCAGTAAACCTCGAAGCGATTTTTTCAAAATTCGAAACAGATTTTTCTATTTTATCTTTTCGATTTTATCGCATAATTTTGAATAGTTTCATTGTTTTAGAAATGTGGTTTTGATAATACTTTTTCATTCAATTGTATACTGGACTGCTGACTGCTGAAAATCAGCACTGTTGCCACTTGGAAAAATGAGAGCGATAATTCTGGGCAGGTTTTTAAATTAAATGTTTCTCTTGGATACTGGACGTTTATTGAAAGAAGGCAACAGGAAGTTGGTTAACTTATTTATTAGGATAATTAATATTTGTATTAAAGGATATTGCATATTTCATTGTAATTTTGTTATATGTAATACATTTAAAAAATTTTATGAAGTTGTTCTGCAGAGTAAAATTCTGCGCATTTTTTAAATTTAACGTTTAGTATTTCCTTCTGGCATTTTCCCGGTACATTTAAAAGCCAGACGAAGGCTGGCAGCGTAGCTGCTAGTTTTACATAAAATAGCTATGCAATGCTGGCTTTTTACCATCTGCGGATAGTAACAAACAGTTTATTTAGCTTTACGTTTCTTGTTTACGACACATCAGGAAATTTTACCTATAACTTAATATTTCATCTTGGTATGGTTTATTTTAAAACACGGAACGGCAAAGAAAGGACTTTTTTTTTGTTAAAACAAGGAACGAAAAAAAATTGGAACTTGGAAATTGCAATAACGGAACTTAAAAGCTATTTTGTATGCCTTTAATAATAAAATTATAAAAATTTATTAAATTTTAATAAAACTTTATCTAAGCGAAATGTTTAGCAAATACAACAGAATGTATCTGTAAAAAAGAAAGCAGATACTTCATTACGAATGCAATAACAAAAGAGAGGGAGGAAAACCTACAAACTTGTTGATCTGACGGTCAGCTAACGCCATCTAAAAACTGCAAAAATAAAATTAAAGTAAATAATATGAGATAGTCGAAAGCTAAAACTTTGAAATAAGATGCCCGTACACATAGGACAAATATGGCTGCTCGAAAGGATTGCCCATATGACAAACAGACAAAAATTTTCATAAGTTATTCACCTTATAGCAATAAATACGGGCTTAAGGAAATTCAGTTGCCTCTTTAGTTATCTGAATTAAAATAGCAATTTAGCGAATCAATTTGGAGGTGATAAGGCAATGAAAATCATTGCAATATTCAAAAGTTTACAGAACTCGTTTAGAAGATTTAAATACTATAGAACTTTCTACTTAAACTGCCAAAAGTATCAGTCTCTTTATTTTAGGGGGTAATTGTATCATATGTTTAAAGTAAATATTTGTAACCCGAGGATATCTGATTAATATTCGTCGGAAAGCTAAATTATATTCTCATCCCAATAATACCACATGTAACGATTATTATAAAATAGGATAAACTTACTCATTGTCCATCAAACTACCTCCTACAACTAAATGTCTGTCTCTTGGTGCGTATTCCCATTCTTCATCTACTGCGGCCACAAAATATTCTCTAATTTTTCCTCCCCTGGCTGGCTGTAATTTTGGTTTGGGATTAGGGAGAGGAATCCGATAATTTTCCGGAATTCCTCCCGCTTCACGGTCTTTTTTTGTGATATCATCATAATATTCCACATGGCTGGAAATTTCATTGATATCATTGAAAACTTGTCTTTTTTGTCGTTTGTTGGTGCAATCTTCTACTCTGTACAGAGCTCGCATGCCACCAGTTAAGTGACTATTTGTCCGGCATTCAATAATCCAGTCTCCTGCAAAACAGAGAGTACAAATATTTCAATTCAGTACAGAGAAGAAATAATTTAAAAACAAGCCTACAAGTGAAAAACATTCTAAGTAGTAATAGTTCCCGTCACCGTTGATTCAGTATCCGCTGTTTGCAACGATCCCGAAAAGGATTTTAAAATAAAAGAAATAAAAACGATTCTTTAAATAAAATAAATAAATAAAAAAAAAACTCTCACAACAAACAAACAAGAACTGTAACATATAAGAGCTCTAGCCTGTCCAATATTGGCACAGAATTTCCACAATTAGCATGAATATGCATTTATGATACTCACATTTCGTTGCTTACGCACTACTTTGGTAAAATAATGTAATAGAATGGCTCTATGTACGATGAATTCTGCAGTAAAATGTGCAGTAAAATGCAGTTAGAGAGGAATGTGAAGAATCTTAAGAACTAGTAAGTGAATAATCACTTGAGTTCGTGAGGTAGAAAACATCAAATGAGAAGAGTGAAATAACCCTTTATTATTCTAACTAAAGTTTAACAAAACTCCGCCTTGGAGTTGTACAGTAAAGCCGACCCTCGGACTTCAACTTCAGAAACTAAGAAATAAACTAAGCTAATCTTAACTGAAAAAGACATAGCCGAGGCTATCAAAATTCCAATAGAGTTGACCTCTTAACGCTAATTGACTGCGAAGCTATCAAGGGCCTGAAGTACGGCCGAGCGTAATAATAGCTTGCGAGAGAGTAGCCTAAAAAGGAGGACGCGTGCTAGCCAGAAAATCTGGTATCCTTTTTACTAAGACAGTAGAACTTCGCGGTTAAATACTGCTCTTTCTCATTAGCATTCAGACATGATTCTGAAACTACGTTCTGGACGGAAGTGGTAAGTTGAAATTAAGAAACGATAGGAAAGGAAGTTTAACTCAAAATTTAACTGTTAATAAAATTAACATAATCCTTACAATTTAATAAATAAAACGCACTTGAAGATGCGTATATGTATATATCATAATGCGTATGCGTATATATCATAATGATTGTACATAAGATTAGTTTATGATGAATATATACGGGGAGTTCTAGAATAAATTTGACAGTTTTACGTACAGTAATTTATAATGGTTAGCTAAAAAATTATGATCTCTCGAACACTGTGAGAGTGTGCTCGAAGGAATGACGCAAATGTCACGTGACAAGGTGGGACTGCTATTTAACTTTTGAAGAGGATAGCGTTATTCTGTCGACTGTTGTCTTTTCGTGTATGTAGTGTAAGGAAAAGCTGCTGATTTAAATGACATTGATAAAGGCCAGGTTTTGATCCCCCATAGGGTAGGAACAAATGTCTCTAACACGTCACTGATCTTTAATTGCTGAGTTAGGATTTCGTAAGATGTTGTTAAAACTATGTATGAAAAGTGAAAAGAGGACCATAAAACCGGGAAGAGATGCCGAAAGGATTAACGAATTTACGACACATGATTAACGAATATGGATATCAGAGAGTCTCCTGCTTGGTGAAGACAAACAGTTGAAGGCTGCCTGACTCCACTGAGAGGTGAATGGAACGAAGGCTCAAGTTAAGTGGTATCCGAGCACGTATTTTATTAAACGGTGATAGACATGGGACTCCGTAGCAAATGTTCTCTCGTATGCCTCTGTTAATGCAGAACCATTGAAGTTTATGATTACAGCGGTCTTATGAGCGTTGTAGTGGGAAAATCTCTGGATTACCTGTTTTCGGATTACCTGGTTGGACGGATGATATTTTTTTTTTAAATTAACGTCGATGATTATATCAGGGAGGGCTATCTTCGAGTGAACAACTAATCAACACGTATACTGCATAATAAGTCATAAACGGGACGGTGATGGATGTATTATGCTTTGCGAAACGTTCTCAGAAGCTTTTCTATAAATGGTAGTTGTTATAGAACACATTACTACATCATTACTACTGTGGGCTATATGAATATCATTGCTGACCAGTTATACACTTTTATAGTTATAATCTTTTTCTCCTCTTCGTACTGAAAAGGGATTCATACGGCAGAACAAAGATCTTTTTCACAAGTTTGGTTTGAGGTTACTTTGCAGCAATCTCAGGATACATTTCAGTGGTTTGAGAAACATGCTGTTGAATTTCAGATGATGTCCTAGGCTCCCAATTCCTTGGATACTAAATTTATTCAGCACATATGTGATATCATGGGGTGCTAGAGTCCCTCTAACACTTTCTCGTTATCGATGGGAACTGCTTTATCTGGTACAATCTTGCAAACCTGGTACAATCTTCCTCACGTCACTTAGCAAGGACTTGTAGAAATTTTATCGTGTCAGATTGCAGATATTTTGCACGCCAAAGATGGAACCTTAAGAAGATGTCAGAATATTTCGGATGATAATTATTTAATACCTACAGTTTTTATTATTTTCAGTTTAAAAAAATAATTGTGTTTTATTTTAATACAAAAAATAATTTACTTTACATATCTAATTTCTGTAGCAATTTAGCTTTGTTAATTTTTTATCCGCAATGGGTTTCGATTAAAATATATAGCGGGGAAATTAGGTGCAACGTTTTTAGGGATAAAGAAGCTCACAGATTAAGTATTCCAAAAAACAAGTGCCACATAATAAAGATATAATTATTCTGGTTTTTAAAAGATATTGCGCCAAATGTTATTTAAAATAAAATTTATGTTATAACATAGAGTTAAATTTCTGTAATTGATGAGAAGCATGACAGATGAAATTTTAATGTGAATGAAAATTACTGACAGAATTTAAGTGGAATACTTGAATGTGAATAATTTTGTTATTGCTAGATTCTCAATGAAAGTTGTTCATGTAGATAGATTAGAATGAAAAGTGGAATTTTCAAAACATAATGTGTCAGTGAAATTACAACAGAAATATGAATGAAACAGTAATGAAATATCTACTAATCATTACTATTATTATATTTAAAGTTTCCTTCATTATGTTTATTAGTGCAAATGCATTTTTTTGTGTTAAATTTTGAATTCATTTTTTTATATTTTAGTTTAAATTTATTGACAAAAATGAGTCTTATAATTTTTATGTAGATTTGTGGTGTTAAATTTCAAATTAAAAAAAACTTAGAAATTGAGTAAGAAAAAAAATTACTCAGTTGCATATTTTAACTATTTTTTTTTTATAAAATCGTAATACATATGCAATTGAATATATAAATCTAAAATCTATGATTGGGAATAAGTATTTCCTATGGCAGGTTTAAGTATCTCATTTTACGAGTATACATAAACCCCATTAAAACAATACTGAAATTTTAAATTATTTTTGACTAAAAATATGATATTTTTGAAGAGACAAATTAATAAATCTATTTAAAACTTCTTGAAATTGTCAGTTTGCGATAGAGGAAAACAAGAAAAAGCAAAATCCATGGCCGTTGAACTAACATTCCCGGTCTTCTTTGCTGCATGATGCATCAAACATAACTTATCATTCTTTATAACTTAAACTGGACTTACCTTCATTCTCTGCTATCATGGAAACTGAGTACAGGATGCTTGGCACAACTGCAACCGTGTCCCTGTAAATGCCTCGATGCAAGAAATTATTGCCGTGAAAGTAAGCAGTATGCAGGTCAATAGATCGTCCTACCCCCATAATATTCCACACAACTTTATCACCCTTGCACATGCTCAGTCCTTCCAGGTTGCCGTACATTCTTCCATTAATAGCTGAAAAATTATTAAACTTATAAATTTTAAGGAGCATAAATAGTTATCATTTTTGCTGCAAGTTTGTTATATTTATTTATATTTAAACGATGATAAATTTGTTGACGAATATTCAAAGCTCTCGTAACCATTTTAATATTAGAAATCTCAATATTACAGTCAATTAAATCCGACATGAATTATTTATTTTATAGGACAGAATTGCTGAAGACGGCCATTTTTTAACTTTAAAATTGCTAACTTGAGAATGTTTTATTGAATGATATTTAAAGCACTGAATAGTGTTCTAACAATATCATAAATTCTTTTAAAGCAAATTAATTTTATGGAGATGAACAATGAGGAGTTGATAATATCTCATGAACGAAATGGTTAATTCTATATTAGGAAGATTAATTTTATTTATGTGCTTTTTTTCAATGTTTTGAATAAAAATTAAATTAATATTCTTTGACAGAATTATAAAAAAAGAGTTCTAGCGCTTGTAAAGAAACATATTTAAGCAGCCTTAACTGGCATAACACATGATTTTATTTTCTGTAATGAATTAAGTATCCAGTCTGTCGAAATGGTACATTTTTGCAGTTTCATGCTGATAATCCTGTAATAGTATTTTCACCCAAATGCAGTTACTAACAATAAACATTACTACAATAATGTCCCTAAAATATTTAGTTTTTGGAATCATGAGATTATTCGCTATTTATTTGTCCAAACTCCTTTCATTTACAGTATTGATTCTTAAACGTTTCTTTTATTTAAATCTCATTTTATCAGACAAATGCTCGAATGCTATTCGATGCTTCTTCGTTAATTTACGTTACCTCATTTCGGTTTTGTAAGTAGATTTAACGCGTATGTAATAAAGTTTATCAAATGTGCTGAAGGAAAAGATAATTTTTTTAAACTAAATTACATACACGTAACCAAAAAAAATTATAAAATAGCAAAAAGGCGTTAAAATCTTTTAAATATACAAGCGCTGTAAGAAAAGCATAATATTGCTTTTAAAAAATTCAAGGTACTATATTTATAAAATATAAATATACATTTATAAAATTCACATTATAAATAATACAAATTTTATATTTTATAAATGTATACAAAATATACATTTATAAAATTTAGATTATAAAATTTTTAAAGGCTTCTATGACGTCTAGTAAATTCTAAGTAACTCCTTTATGGGTTCCAATCTTTATCTTTAAGAATTCAAAATCTACATCATGCCAGCATTAAACTCTTCATGTCTAATATTTTCTAATTAGTATGCTTATCCGATGCGTTACTTCTAGAACAAAGGCAACATTAATCAAAACTTCAGTTTGTAGTATACAATGATATTCCCAGCTTATAGATTCAACATTAAAGATACAAATTATGTTCCATATTCGTACTGCACTATTGTTTTATCTTGCAGAGTGAAAGCTCCTTTACAATATTTATATTTTACAATTAAATATTCTTTCTTTCATATCTGTTACTTATAAATCCATAAGTACATTTCGAATATTTTTTGCATCTCCTTTTTAAATAATTTCTCATTTCTTATATAGATAACAATTTTTTAGAAATAATTGGAGAACAAGAAGTTTTATGGTAAATTATGGTTTATGGTAAATGATTTTATGGTAAATAAAATTTACATCAGAATAGTAAAATATTTAATAAATTTAATTTAACTTACAATATCTTCTGTTAGCCAATCGAAAATCTCTGTCATAGAAATCTACACCATACGGGTCACTAGTGTATGCAAGAACACTATCATCAATGTAGTGAGATTCGTTTTCATCCAAGGCCGAAAACATCAAAGAAAATTCCCGATCCACATTTTTCTGCGAAGAAACATAAATTGAATTAAAATAAGGCACCGAATAATTATTGGAACTGTTAAAGCAATAAGAATGGGCGTAATATTCATAAATTTGCAGGACTAGTTTCGGGGGTTCAAGTATGGAATCTTTGTCTTCAGTAGCATGAAAAAAAGGAGACAAAAGGATTCTTTAGTCTAAAGGGGCTTTGACCCTGAAAGACTATTGTTTTCGTTTTGCGATTTTGCGTTGAATCACCATAAATGTCCGTTTCACTTTTCAAACTGTCGCCACCAAATGTTAAAGTCTTGCATTATATTTGAAGAAATTAAATAATGAAAAATTTGCATAAATGTATGTCTATTTCTCGCATTGTGATAAAACAACAGTACATAGAGTCATCGAATTTTGAATGACGTAATCCTCCTACGAATATGGGCATGTGGAAGATCAAATTTGAAATTTGGAATTAATTTTATTATCGATTTCATATTTTGTAAAACTTTAACGAATTTTTTAATAACAAACTCGAGGATTTCAAAGCGAGCAATGGCAACACCCTACGGAAAAAAAAAAAAAAAAAAAAAAAAAAAAAAAAAAAAAAAAAAAAAACCTTTTTATCTCCAGCGCGCGGAACTGTGTATCGGAAATTCTAAAGATAGGCTCATTTTAAAATTATTTTGCGACATTGCTATTGTATGGTTTAAGTGCAAAGAACATAATATTTAATAAATAAAGGTAACAAACAAAACGTTAAAAATGCCCCTTTGGACGTAATTTAAAATCTGAAACCTTTCATATTTTTTTTTATTATTTATTTATTTATTTTGCATCTCTGCAGCTGAAAAAGCAAGTTCTACATTTGAACCTTAAAATTCAGTGCTGCAAATTTATTAATATTATGTTGATTTCTTGTTGCCTTGACTCCTCCTATAAACATAAAGAAATTAAACATGCTTCTAATAAACAAAATCGAAGACATTATTTAAGATTTCAAAATAAGAATGAATATATGCGACATTACGTGACATTATTTTTTAAGATGATCAAATTTCTTCATGAGGCAATGTGATCTCAGTACTAAGTCAGTCTATTCCCATCTCAATCTTGACAGATTTTTCCGATTATGCTACTTATTCTAAGTAGAGTTAATGCTTTGACATACAAATATACTTTCATGATAACTTGTTAGAACTACTGCTTTGTTACAGAGCTGTTTCCGTTTGAAAGACTTGTCATTATGAATTAAGTCTTTTGGACCCCTTCAGGTTTTAAAACATTCCGTTATTTTATCTATTTTATCTAATACTGTAACTCCTGTCGTAACCAGTATGGTATAGTGCAACAAACTGCAAGGGAAAAAGGAGTAGGAAAAAATTCTTATTTAAATTTGGTTCTTAAGATTTGTCAAATATGAAAACTATTTATTACGAACATTATTGTCTTGACGTGAAAAAGAGGCGATTAAGAGTCATAAATTAATCCTTCTTTACGTTGAATACAAGAGTCGGAAACGAAAACTGAGTTATGAATGACGATGGAAAGACAGAGTCATAGCTAAGGAGCGCCCGGGGGAATTTTGCACCCTCTCATATTTGCCAAGAATGGAAAACATTTAATTCTAAACTTTCGTAACATCACTTTGGCGTCCCCTGGAATCTGCGCCCAGGCACAGATGCCCCCTTTGCACCCTCTAGCTACGCCCCTGTTAAAAGATATAGCTGGCTTGTAATGTATTAAGAAAAACTCACTCCCAGGCTGAATCGAGATATTTTCGACAACATGGCATATGATTTGATTAACCTAAGCACGATTTTTTAAAATAATCCTTGTGTGGAATTTGATTTTCTTTCCAGAGTGAAAGGTGATTCATATTTGAATCGCATCTTGAAAATGGGGCACAGATAACTGAAAATATATGTCTATGACCAGAGGTTGTCAAAATGTAAAACAATGAAGTCTTTTTTGTCATGTTGTATATATTGTTACAAATTATGGGTTTATGAATGCATTTTTAAATAATCACTCCAGATGAGCAGATGTATTTAAACTTGTGCTACGTCTCAAGGCAACTCATAGGAGCTCTTGGACAATAGTGTTCATTACATTGCATTTAAAATATAAAGGTTTATGATAAGGATCCCGAACATGGTCTGCTCCAAATACAAATTAATACATAAAAGTTTCAAGTAGATAATATACACGGCATTTTATTCAAAATTTTTGGAAAAAAAATCCATCTGCTCAGTAGTTCAAAATGCTCAGTAGTTAAGATTACTTTAACATCCTATTAGAGGGCACTTATTGGTCTTAAGCTGTTGTCCATTCTCCAAGAAATGCGGGCTAAAGAGGGCATTGGTCTCCAGCTTTGAAAGTCTGAATTGTCTATTAATGGGGAGTGTTCTCTAAACTAAACTGTACGTTAATGGAAATTCAACTGCAGTTTTGGAAAAAATAAGCCGTCTACCGCACAGTTTCCTTTTTTTTTTTGTATTATTGATTACTCTAAGGAGTTTGAGAAGTGCATCTTAATTTCACACCTGTCTTCCGTTTTTATCCAGAATTCCTTTTCTGCAGACGAGAAGAATGCCATTTAGACCAGCATATGCATCTCTCTTGAAATCTTGGTCTGAGAAATACCTCCAAGGCAAACAATCTGGATCTAAATCACTTGGACCGTATTGCTTTAGAAATGTCCAATATATTACTTGAGTTTCATTCGTTTTAGCTGCACCTATGATAAAGAAAAAAGTAATAAATGTTTCAATATTTTAAAAGGTCTATTTTTTACGATTAAATACTTACTTTTACTTTTTACGGAACTTTTAAAAAATTTTTGGAAACCCTGCGTTTCTCAGTCAAGTTTTCAAAAAACTTGAGCTTTAAGGGCGTTCAAACATTTTTGTAACGATTTTTCAAAGATATATATGTAAAAAAAACCTTAGAATTTTATATTCTAACATTTTCAGTCTTATAGCCCTTTTGTTGAGCTATTATATTACATCTTGACTTGTCCTGAAAAAAATGAAAAGTTCTTTTCTTAAAAGATCAGGGTTGATTTTATTCCACTCCTACTTCACAATTTTCCAGAGTTCATCCAATGTTTTGTGATGCCGCTTATAAATTATAAAGAGCTTGTTTTAAAAGTCCAAATGCACAGTAATCCATAGGAGACACATCAGGGGACTTAGGTAGGATGCATTGAAAGGGTATAGCTTCAATTCCGGTTTCATTTCTCATTTTACAAAACACAGAGCTGTAGATTTAGAGTTATGACTTGGAGCCTTATCCCTATGGAACTTAACTAGAGTGAAGATTGTTTGGATAAAGAGATGGATTCTTCTTTAAAAATAGGTGTTAAAACATACTTCTGTAGGCAATCCGAATTAATTTTGACACGTTTTCTACTCTCCTTATTTTAAGTTTTCCGTTATAAGAAAATCCAATAATAAAAACAAAACCTTTAGAAAAACTTTCCTTGTTTTCTATGAACCAACATATTTAGTCTTTTTCTCCCCTTTTTCGGTAGTAAATCGATCCTTTCTATTTCAGTCAGATAAATATAGTCAAGCCCCATCAACTCTAACTATATATATCCATTTTTCACCTGCCAAATACTTTTCATACAGCAATCTGCACATAAGTCTTATGCTGAGAAACATGGTTTCACGTTAGGCGATGAACATCATGTTCTTATGTTTAGATTAGCTCTAAATCACTAGTATGTATCACTAGTATGTACTTTTTTGGTTTTTATTTTTTAGCTTTTTCTTAGTCAGATGTAAACTTTGACGTTTCTTTCTTTTCATATTAATTATGTCACTTATTTTAAGCGCAAAAATATTAAAACCATGCTTTTCACATCTTTTTTAATAATTATTTAATAATTTTATAATTAGAGTATTTATTTTCGGACAGCGAAAAAATATAGCCTTCGATGAATTGTTTATTTTCAGCGACATTTTAAAGAAAAAATATTTTTAATGCTGCACGTGATAATCGAACCTTATTCAAATTTGATGCGAATCACGTTTGTATTTTTAAACTAATATTTAAATACATAGAGAAATCAAAATCGTTACAAAAATGTGTGAACACCTTCTTCATTTTTGCACATTTTGTGGCCATTAGTAACATTACATTATGTTACCCTCCCAAGGAATTTATCGTACATATACTACAGTTATTGCCATTCGGCGTTCTATAACACCTTTAAATTATATGTCAAATGAAATTGCTGCTTACTTTCATTAGACAATTAAAAGCGATTCTATCTTTATTTCTTTAACTTTATTTTTACTTTTTTGAAATTTGTATTATTAATACTTTATCTAACTGATAATTCTTATAGCTCAATATATTAAATACCTCAGTACAGAAAAACTGTTTGCACAGCACTTAAGAAGATTTTTTTAAATAATATTTCGAATTGATATAGTTCGTAAAACAGCTGATTTATATAACTTACGATATATCTAGTTAATAATTTCTATAAATATTTACTCCATTATTTTAATTTTTAAAGACATTTTTAACACTACACTGAAAAACCAACATATTATGACCACTAACTCAAGAATGCGTTGCGCGAATTTTGGCCCGAAAAACAGCTGCAACTCGGCTTGGCATGGATGCCACAAGTTCTTGGTAGATGACTGGAGACAGGTGTCTAAGTAGTAGTCACGCAAAGTCCAGATATTCCGACATGGTGATGTTTGAGCTCTGAGTTGCCGCTCTATAACATCCAAAATGTGCTCTAACGGGTAAAGACCCGGCGAGTTATGTGGCCAGGACATTAGCTGAAAGCTGTTGGACGATTTCATTTCCAGTTGGGAAGACAGACGCCATGTAAGGGTACAACTGATCCGCAATTATATTCAAATAGTCCTCAGCTTTAGCCTACTACAACTAAAGGTACCAGAGCTGCCCATGAGAAAATACCGCAAAGCATAATAATGCCATCACCAGTCCGTGTATGACCTGCTGTAGAGAGAGGAGGAACTATTCTCCTGGGAGACGGCATACCCTGACACGGCAATCGACATGATGAATGAGATATCGTGATTCATCCGACCAGGCAACCGCCTTCCACTTATTCATGGTCCAATCTTGATGTTCCTGGGCCCAACACGCTTGCACTTGGACCTGCATTTTATTGGGCTGTATCTGAGCCACTCTCAGGCGCCGATTTTTCTGTACCAAGCAGGACAGTCTCCGACATTCTTTTTCTTTGATGACGCGTGGACGTTCAAAACTTTGGCGTCTGCTGCTGGTTTCACTGCCATTTATCCATTTTGCATAAATACTAACAATGGGAGATCGTGAACGGTCTACCAGTCGTGCAATTTCGGAGATACCCCTTCCGAGTCGTCGGGTCCTTACAATTTGCTTTCTAGCAAATTCGCTTAGATCAGCAGCCTTTACCATCAGTCGCAAAGATTAAGCGCTAGAGTGACTCCTTACATTCTCTAGCAGCAGTTCAAATACATTTCCACTTAATCAAATTATCCACTTAATCTTAGAAATCTGTTTTTTTTTCATTAATTTAATTCCCCCGTTTAGCAATACAACGTCAATTCAACTTAACATTCTAGTACCAAGTACTGTTGCTAAGTTATCGTTATCTAAAATGTAACGATTGCTAATTTAGTACTGTTGCTGAGTTATCGTTATCTAAAATGTAACGAAACAAACTGAAATAATATTTAAAACTGCTAGAATTGTGCAATATGTATCTGGAAAATTATATCTTGCCTCAGCAACGTAATGATAGACATGCCTTAATTCCTCACAATCATTCTATTTAAAGCATGAGAATCTTATATTTTTCGGCATTTTGTCATTTCGTGTTCTTTGTCAAATAATTTCGAAGTGAATTTTCAAAGGGCCACTACTAGGTTGTTAAGGAATTATACAATGTATCTTTTTGGGGCTTTTGAATAAGATATTCTGTCTGAATAAGATATTAATGGTATTTGAAGACTGATGATGCAGAAAAAATTAGTATAGAATAAAAACTTAATTGTATGAAAAAAAGCACAGAAACAGTTTAAATTAAAACTTAAAGTCAAATATTATTTAATTGTGTTTTTAAATGGTATTTCAAATTATAAAATAAATTAAACTATTTCAAAGATTAAATGCTTTTGCAAAAGTGTATAGTATATGTTGTTAAAAGCGACTTTCGTTAATGATATTAATAGTATAAATGTAAATAATTGTATTAAGAAATACAATATTGTTTTTAGTAGACTGAATCTGCTGTTATAATTCAAAAAACAGATTAAATATCTTGCCTCCCAACCGAGATAGTGGTTAGCGACGCTGCCATACCGAAAGGCCCGGGTTCGAATCCCGGAGAAGGTATGGATGCATAGTATCTGTACGGCATGCAGTCACTCTAAATATGCGGCGAGCCCTCTTGAGGGGCTTAAAAGGCAGTACTCTTGAGAGGTTGCTGGTAGGGGAAGAGGAGCGGGAGACCTTCGGAACGCCATCCCCCAGAGGTGCTCTGTACGGTGCTCAAGGATCTTGCCAATGACAGACGCAATCTTAGTCTCCTTGCCACGGATATCGTAGGCTTGTTCTGATGATACTGTCAGACAAGTGAGATTAAGTCACAACAATACCTTACACAACACTAAATGGCATTAGTTCTTAGAATGGGAAATTTTTCAGGCCGCATATTCAAGTCAAATGATGAGACCTGACAATTTTCCAGATCACTTGGAGACGAAAACTTTGGAAAGCAAGTACTTTCACTAGTATGTCTACTGTCTACCTTTCTTCTAAATACGTAAACATGAAGAGTAATATATGCATAATCATTTTGATTAACGGTAAAGAATGCATTAACTTACCGTTTCTTAGATAGTAAGCGCCATGGGTGTCGATCGTGTAAGGAAATGAAGCAAGGTTTTTGAAAGTGATTTTAAGAACATCTCCAATCTCTGCTCGAAGAGTAGGTCCCATAACGGCTAAATGCAAATCTTCTGAGGATCGAGGTTTTTGTACGGTGAAAGTAGCATCTGTGTATTCTCTGTAGACTGCTTTACGATAGATGCCTCCAATTCGATGGGGTCCTTTCGCGAAAAATGGTGCAGAGTAACTAAAAAAGATTTACGCTTTTAATACTTTATTGGTATTCGTTGAATTTTATTCACACTTTTTGCTTTAGTTAATTAACCACAAAATTTATAGTCTAATTTTTTACAACTTATTTTTAAAAATAATGAGTCAAATTAAGATTATCTTCAGACTTTGTTTAAGTACCCAGCTTTTATTTAAGATTTTATTTCTTTTGTTTTTCGATTCCCCTTAACCATGTCCAGATAATTTAAGCATTGCCTACAAATTCAAGTGAGCTTCAAAATAGATCGAAAACAAAAATCGAGAAAGTAGTAGGAACAAAATACGGCCTTCCAATGTTCAACAAACCTGGGTCACAGCATTTTGTGGCTGACCGTGGTTTGAAGGCAGCAACATACTTCGATGGAATCAATGCCAACAAGTGAGTTTAAATTATTACTAGCTGAAATGTTTGATTTGATGAAAGAATTAGCCTTCGATTTAGATGACTAGAATTTATATTAGGCAAAATTCGAAAAATAAGGCAAAAATCATCTAGAACAATTTTTATAGAAGACTATTTTTAAAGGAAGTCCCTCTTCTTCAAGGAAAATGTACATTTAGAAGAATTTTAGTTTATTAGAAAAAATATATATATAGTATTTTTAGAAGAATTTTAGAGAAGTCTCTCTTCTTCAGGGGGAAAAACACTCTGCTGTATGATCTGGCAATACGTGATTTAAGCAGATAGATTAAAGTAAATAAATTAGTAAATAAAGGAAGCAAAAATCATAACATCATAAAGCTATTTGCTGAGCAAAACAGAAACTAAAGGAATTAAAAGACAGATTTCGAAAAGATTTGAAAAAATGTATTAGAATCAATATTACTAATCAAAGTTTATACATTTCAATGAATGGGGAAGTTTCATGGAAGTCTATTTCACAAATAAAAGTAGTGTCTTTAGCGGAATTGAAGTTAAAATAATTATTAAAGGGCTAAAGATGATGAAATATAGCAGATTTTTTCCTTTTCTGAGAAAAGACTGACTTTTGTTTCATCGAAATTTTATTGCTAGCTTAAACTAGTCGACATACAAAAGCCAAATTGGTATAAATTCTTATTAATTCTTATGATTCAAAATCTGAAGAGTTTTTAAAAAACTGAAAAACAAATTTAATTAATAGAAAAGGAAAACCTCGGGAAGAAGTCAACAAAGTTTAATTGAAAAGAGAGGTGGGGATAAGATTATTGTAGTTTTTCTAATAGGAAAATATTTTTTTTATTAAGCTAAGAAAAAATTTTTAAAAGCAAATAGCTTGTAATTGTTGAGTTCCAGAATAATAGAAGATATGAAGAGGAATCTATAAGAACATGAGAAACATACGGGCAGAAGAAAGTTTTTTTTATACGTATTTTTGGCAGAAAGACAAGAATTATCAGAAGTAATCAGATAAGCAGAGAGAGGTTTTAGAAAAAATAATAGTGTTGAAATTAAATTTTTTACATGTGCTTCGTGTGTGAAATCAATTGTTGTTTTGATAGAACTTATAATAAACTAATATAATACTTGAATAATATGAGCTTATAATATACTAAATCATGTCTCTCGCCTTTAAAAGAAAGTAAGTATCATCAAAATAATCAATCCAAAATGAAAAACAAAATCTGATGTGAACCCCACATCAGATTGATCAAACCCTCCTTGTACGACCTATTAAATTATACACATTTTTGGATGTATTTCATTTAAATTTATTTCCTTGAATTATTCTAAACGATTCCTCATCGAAATTTTCCAAATGTAAATACAGGAATCCGAAGACTTAAAAGTTAGAATTCGTTATTTGTCGAAAATTGTTATTTTTTAAAAATTGGACATTGCCAAAACATGAATATTTTTGTCATTTGAAACACTTCCTCATAAAACCGATTCCTCGTAAACCTTTCCCAAATCTGAGTATGCATAGGAACCCGGAGACCACATTAAAAGTTAGATTTCGTTATTGGTTGAAATTTTTTTAAAAATTTGACATTGCCAAAACATGAATAATTTTGTCATTTAAAACACTTCTATAACTGGAAATATATGACTTAAGACCTACATTTGCGAAAGGGCCAGTAAGGACTTTTAAGTCATTTAAGGGGATGGATATATATATATATATATATATATATATACGAGTACAGTTTGGTACTGCTGATTGCAATAGAAAAAGGGAGGGGCAACTGTAGTCTTATTTCAACGTTTCTCGAAAATTTCCACCTTCTGCGGCTAATCGTTTTGAGTTGCGAGAATTATATACATACGTACAGACGTCACGAAAATAAAAATCCCTTTTGAATCCATTTTAAATCCATTTTACAGTCCGATTTGGAAACAAATTTCCTTTATTTTGTCCGTACATACAGATGTCACACAAAAAAACCACTCAGATGGATTCGGGAGCTGTCAGATTGGCTATTTCCATTAGATTATGATATCCGAATTTTTCGTGATTACAATACTTCCTTCACTTAGTACAGGGAAATAAAAAGGTACTCCTTTTAAATAATTTGACCTCAAAATTGTGTACATAAATAACGTTAATCTAAATTTTGCTGTAGTAAATTAATTTGAAATGCGTGAAAGGTTTACTTTCTGATGTGTAAAATATTTAAAAAATGATATTTCGTTTCTTATTATTGGGCTCTTATGTGCTGTTTAGTGAGATAAAGTGAAATTTATGTTTCGCAATCTTAATTAATGTAATCTAGTGGAGTATTTACATAACATTTTGTTGAGATAAAACAGCATGTACGTAAGTAGTCAGCGTCAACTGCCATAATATATTCTACTCATAAGAAAATTGAAAAATTAGAGTAAAACTGAAAGTAGTCGAAATTCTTATAGTTAACATAATTTAACCGAAGTAAAATCATTCGCTTTAATTTAGCATAATGCGTAATGATAATTCTTTTAGTCTTATAATCAGAGAATTAAGGTAAAAATGACACATTTTAAAGTTTACAAGAAAGCATTATATCCAGAAAAGATACTTGAATATTTAACTGTTTAAAAAAAGATAAATTATATAGAAAAGTATAGGAAAAAGTACTTACTTAATTCCTGCACTTACAGACTGGACTACAGAGACTAGAATCTTTTAAGGTACAAATAATAGTGCATTAAACCTTTGAATGCTTTTGCAAATATTTTTTGTGTTATTTTGTGTTCTTCGAATTATAAGAAATACAAAGCTCCTAAAATAAAGTGATGTTACTTTTACAATAACATAAGAGAGATACAGTGCTAATAGATATATTTTATTACACGTGGGTATTGCCTAAAATGTCAAGTAGGAAAAGTCTTGAAACAATGCACTTGGCAACAAAATAGTGATTCTTTATATGTCATGTCTTTTTATGCCAATGAAGCCTACTATCCAATAATGAAATTTTACTTGAGCAAAGTGAATTACCGGTGAGTAAAAATTAAATTTTAAAAGGCAATATTATCAAGTTAATTAAGGTCAAGCTTCCGTTTGACAATGCGAAAAGTGAACGTTTTCTTCTCTAATCTTTTATAAGTTTTTATTATTTCTACTTCTAAAAATACACTTCTTTGAAATTACTTTTTGTTTAATTATTTGTATGTTATATATTCGCAGAGGCCCCGTTAGTACTTTTTGATTTATTTATTGAATATTTTCTCCCACGTTGTGATAGCCGAAATCTATTAAACATGTTTTTTGAAGTTACTATTAAATATGTATATGCTTTATTTTTTGTGTTATGTAAATATTTGTTATTTTTTCAGTAGGTTATTGATGGCCTTGAACAAGGGCTCTCATCTCTCGCATTGAACAAGGGCTAATTACCTGTCATCAGTGAGATTAGTTCCAGTCAAGAAGTTGAAGCCAGATGGAGCATAGTTCCACTCCACATCTTCAGCTGCGATGAATACCTCTCGTAGTACTCCTTTCAGAGCTTCCTTCTCGTCTGGTCTTGAGTTATTGCACTGCCGAACACGGAAAAAGGCCTCCATTCCAGCTTTAAGAAATGTTTTATTGTTAAGTTTATATAAATAATACAGTTAAGTTTAATATAAATACATACGTGAGTTTAATATAAATGCATACGAATAACCATGCAGATTAATATAAGAGTAACATAATGTTACTCTTATATTAAGCTGCACGATTTAAGTTATATTTGTAACGTAATTTATTTTAATTAACCAGTTACAATGATTTTGATCTTTACTATTATTTCTTCCTTCTCTATTCCTCATCAGAATGCGAATTAGCTTTTAGCGTATATATAAGTTGAGGGTTTTAGAAGCTTACAGACAGAAAGAGGGAGTTTGGGCAGTATCACTGTGCTGTTAGAGTTAGTAAGTTAGCTGTTAGTACGATAACGGTTTAATAAAATTTATTTTAATTTTTTTTGACACTAAATAAATAATTAATATATCAAATAAATAATTTATATAGATAATTATTTATTTAAAACTGAATTCATCTCGCGAAATTTTCTCACACCACACAATATATATAATGTTATAATATATACATACATGTTTGTATGTATTATACTTAAGTATGATTATACTTAAATATTAAGCATAACACATTATATTTTAAGTACTGTGTCATCCTGTACATACTTCCGCACAACGTATCGTGTACTATGTTCTGCATAATAATGTCTTAAGTACTGTGTACTGTATCAAGTATAGAATTACGTATTGCGTCATCATATTGTACAAAATTTATAGTTGTACTAATATATTATATCTTAACTAATGCGTTTTGTAGTAAATACTGTGTAGTGTAATGTGTTATTATAATGTACTAATATACAATATATATAAGTACTAATATACAATGTAGTTGTACTAATATACAATATCTTAAGTAATGATTATTATAGTACGTAATGAGTATTGTAGTAAGAAATGCACTAAACATCTATGTACTATGCATTAGGTCCCTCATTATGTACCTAAACCTAATTTAAGTATTTATCCCTGAGATATGTACCACGTCCTAGAGTAATTCTTAAGCTTTCAATCCTTCTTTTATATTGTATGTCTTTATGTGTTTATGTTTTCATTTTATGTGTTATGTGCTGGGTTCAGTGCGTGTTATGTGTTTACTTGGTTGCGGTCGTGTATGTATTTGTTTTCTATTTTCTGTTTTTATGTGTTATTCACTAAGTAATGTACTCTGTATGTCACCTCAACCACATATGTAATCCACCAACTTATGTCAAACAATTGACCCTGTATGGCCTTTAAACCTTTTTTAAATCTTAAATAAACTCCCGTTTGTTTTGGTAAACTAAGGATTTACCAAAACAAAGGAACCAAGTTAAGTAAATTTGAGCAAAAATTATTACTGTTATTTAACTGGATCCCAGCTTTGTTTCCTCAGATTTATTTTTATGTTTTATACTTCCACTGCTAATTGTATTTGCTTCCGTAAACTCTGGCAAGTTGTAGTTCCGTAAACCTTGGCATTGATTCCGTGTTAGATACGTATTAGCTTTTTTTGTACTTTCAAATGCCAAATGAGTATGAAAGTAAAAGAATGAATTAACTTTCATTTACTTTTATAGATTTCTTTTGATAATATGTAGAAGTATTTTAGCAGAGCCGATTTAAAAATTCTGGTTTTCTAAGATAATCAGTAAAATAAATGCGTCAATAATTCAAAGGGAAATATATATTTGTGGCTTTTGTGGACAACTTGGTTGCTGCTGTACGAAAATAGGCGCCCTAGGCACTGTGTCTATAGCCCGTATCTGAAGTGCATGTTTCAGCTAAATTGAAATTAGAACACGCTGCCATGCTTTTAATTTAATCCAAAATTTTGCATTCTTGTTATTTATTCGTATGTTAAATTTCTTTTTAAATTAAATCCTGCTACTTTGATGTGACACTTTCTAAATAAATTTTAGACATTATTTTTATGAAAGATTCTAATTTTGAAACTCATAAAAAACTGATCTCAGTTATTAGGTTTTTCTCATCTATTTCCCTATACTCCTTATTCAGGTAAGTGTTTTCATTGTGGTTAGTCGTTTACACTAAATGATTTAAATTTACAATTCTTAATGACCTCAACAACTTTCCTCATGCCTATCTAAGTACATGAAACAGAGTCTTAAGTACATGAAATCGATAAATATTGTTGTAGAGACATTAGGCATTTTGTGGAAGCAAGAGAGATGTTATGTGCGATAAATATGTAAAACAAAATCTAACTTTAATTTGCAGTTGTCCCCTTAAATGTACTAGTTAGTTTAGTTCCTTTCCCTTTACATCGCAAAAATAATAACTCTTATGATAAAAGTCTCTACACTGTATCGTTTCAAAGTTAATCATTGCCACATGTAACGTTGATGATACAGTGACTTACATAATGCTGCAGCTAATAATAATACTTAAATTCGCGAACTAAAACCTTTAGCAACCACTCAGAAAATGAAGTCAAACCAAAAGTGATTTATTCTTAACCAAATCTTCATATTAGAAACCTTGATCCTTTCCTGTTCTATGTCGCCGTTTACTTTTCTTCCGTCGAAATTAATTGTATAAAAATGTAAGAAACTCCTTGGCACGAAAAGCCCACTTTTTTACGCCAAGCTAGCTGTGAAGCGTTAAAACTGCATCTACTTTAATTAATCAATTTAACATCTATATCGCCATCAAAAAATGATTTCATTACACACACACATATATAAATACTAAAAATTTATCTCTACTTTGTAATAGCCCATGAATTTAAATATTATATATATATAGTAAAATTTTAACTCTAATTTGTAATAACTCATGTGTTTAAATAAAATCTTTTTATATGGTTCTTATATAACGTTATTGATCACATCTCTTTCATAACGCAAAAGTTAAACTCAAGTGCTTTCGACAATAGTTAATCGAGCCGAAACTTTTATCAACTAAGCGATGCTTTGTACCACTCTTGGGAAATAAAGAAACTTCAACATTTTTTAACCTAACATCAGAAAACATAATCTCACTCTTCTCATGTCCAATTAACACTTAGTGTGTAGCTTCTATTTATCACCGAAAGTACTATGAATAGTGAAAAGTACATTATTATTAATTAGTGGTAAATTATTCAATAATGGGAGCTGATTTTGCTTCTATTTTTGAAATAAACAATTTAGTAAAAATACATACTACAAACCTATTTTTGTTAAACTGTCTGTGTAAATCATTTATCTCCATCATCATCATCATCATCATCATATACTTCAAATTCCAAAATCTTCATTACGTATACATGCAGCTTATATGCTTGAAATTCTTTTATCATAATTATTGTATATATAGTACATGCATGCGGATAAAATAAATTACATTAAGACTTACAGTGAGCGTGTGACCCAACTTCGCAGCGAATGGGCCATACTCCAGGCCTCCTCGCAACCATATAGCTGGTAGTAAACTTCGCTGGAAGAAGACTTATTGAATCTGTTCTGGAAACAAGGAACAAAAAAGTACATTTTAAACTTCTATTGAAATAAATGAAGTAATGTCAATTTTAAATGAATAAACTATGTCTTTTTGAGCAAATCTATAATTCCGCTTCACTAAACAAGAGGAAATCGTGTTTGTCATATTTACAGAATTGAATGTTTATTCAGGTTTTTGAAATATTAACGTTTTAATCTTGAAAAAAAAAGATGGTCTTATATTACCTAGAACCAAAGGAAGATTTTGATTTTCGCATATTCGTTTGAAGTGATTTTAAACCACGCTCGGAATGAAACTGTGAAATTAAATATCTGGCTAATTTAAAAAATTAATTTTATGAATACTGTTTTCACATTCGGGAAACAAAATCTTTTTCGAATGATGTAAGCAAATTGTTTTAAAATGTATGTCCTGATCCAGCATAAGAGAATAGTTTTTAGTGAGTTTCAGAGAGTTTTGATATTATTTTGTTTTTGAATTTTATTCAAATTTTACGATTGCAAACTAATTTATAATTTATAATGTTTTCAAATACATTTCTTTAATAACTATTTAAAAATTCTTCGTCATTATATTGATATACATTAGACATTACCCCAGAGCAGCTATACACACACAGATCGCTGCACATTATAGTCTTAAAATTTTAGTGGCGATGCTAAACATTTAAGAAGTATTGCTCTGCACAGTAAATCTCAGAATATTTGTTAATTCATTATTCGACGTTGCTATTTTAAATAAGACCTTTATTGCATATAATTTCATACTCTCTATCTTGGATTTGTGAAGATTAATTCGTACGCTAATAGGCGTAGCCTAATTGTTTATCTTAATCTCTTTCATGTTAAACTGGAATCTTCATATAAAAATTAGACTGAAATGCTGCCCATTACCGTAGCGTAAAGACAGGATTCGAATCCCGGAGAAGGCATGGATATTTCAAATATATAGTGTTTGTGCGGCAAGGGGCGTTTAAAAAATATGGCGGGCCAAAAGTCCTCTTGTGTGACTTCGTGGTAGGGAAGAGGGGGAATACCCTGGTAATGCCGCCCCTGGGTTGCTGCCCTTCAAAACTGTGGTGGAACTGCGCAAAATCGCGTTGTCACCTAAATGCGGTGTCTTCCTGTTTTCGCGATTTCTGTTTTTGCGGTTGTCAAAAACGTTCCTGTTTCCGCGAAATCATTAATTTTCATTACCCCTCTTCCCAAAAGGGTTACATAATGAGGGGCTGACGGGCATTGGTCTCTCCCGAAATGTAGAAAAGTAAAACATTTTTAGATAAAAGAATTTTTAAAAGAAATAATCGAAAAAAATTTACGATCTCAGATATTTGCGTGAATGAAGTTAATTATTTAAAAGGAAAAAGAGATATTCAAACTCTGGGAAGATTTTGGCAATGAACTACAAGATTGTTTCCTAAAGTAAAAAATAATATTCTTCCGAAATTCTGCATAAAGGTGAGTTAGAATAAAATCTTTCAGAATAAATATTCGTTCTAAAACGAAGTTCTAAAATGACGCTCTTTCTTCTAAAACAACTTCTGCTTTGGTCTTAATTGCGCCTTTGCAGCTTTTAATTATCTCCTTTTATGAAAATCCAATAAACTACATTTTTCTTATTTCTATTCTGAATTCGATATTGATAACCTTTATAATGAGCTGAAGTTTTTTTTTCCCTTTAAGTTTCAGCAATGTCTAAAACATCCATATTGATTAACGTAAGATGTGGAAACGACAGTTAATATTGTAGCAGAATTACTAATAGAATGAAACTAAAGATTTCGAGAGAAGTGTAAACCAAGTCATGTCTTCAGTCTAACGAAGACTAGCTTATTCACAAAGAAGCTCTTCTTAATGACTCACCGTGATATCTCCTGAAGAGCTATGGGAGGGGGATTGCACTATCCGATTTAGCGGGAACAGGAAGAATTTTGAAAAACGCGTAAAGAAGAATCGCGGAAACTAATTCCCTATATGCTGGTCAAGGCTGTTGCCAACGACAGACGAAATCTTGTATTCTTTGCCACGATAAATTTCGTGGGGTTGCTGTAATTAGGTCAGACAAGTGAGATTAGTAACAACAACAAAAAACTAAAATTTTTATAATTTTTTAAATGTTTATTTAAATTTTTGATATTTTAATGGTAAACTCTTCTAAGACTGCTGTCAAAAACTTTCAGGAAGTACTTTTTTAATCTAAACTTAATATCATATTTTGTACATAAGAGAGAAAAACTTATTTTCTTCTACATAATAAACAAATTTATCAGTTTTCTCATTAAGAATGGGATTATTTATTGAACAGCCGATGTTTGTATTAAATTGAAGAAATCTTTTGTGTTAGTTACATTTTCTGTTTAATCAAATTAAAGATTTGACGTATAAAAATTGCACTTACTTATGACCTTCCCACTGCACAACATGTCCTTCAAAACTCGCCGTATGAACATCCACTACATCGCCCATACCCACAAGGTGCCAAGTAACTCTTTCGTTTAGACACAACTCGAGACCGGGAAGATTTCCAAAGGCATAACCATTGATCGTGTGCATCAAGTTAGAAGCCTGGAGGGAAAGTTAATAGTTCGCTTTAATCGTTCATCACTTGGAAGTTAGTTTATAACTGACAAAAATGCTTAAATTCAATTACTTTAATAACACAATATAAGCTTTAATAACATATTTTTAATAAAATATTTTGCATAAAATTGCTTTAATGATTCGGAACTTTTTTAATCTAATCTTTTATTAAACACATCTGCATTGTTAATGGTTATATAATTTGTAATTTGAATTTACTGATTTTGATTAATTAGTTTCAGGAATTCGTTATATATTATATATATAGAGAGAGAGAGAGAGAGAGTTTTCATTTCGTTTTTACAATAATGTACGTTTTGAATTATTTTGTATTATTTTGATGTTATTTTTTGTAATTTTTCTAAGTTTCTCAAAAACTGAATTCGCATTAGGATATATCCTTGACTCTTTGAGATGGATGTAAATATTTTTATGAAGGATTTTGCGATTACTTTTATATTTATTTTTTTTTGCGCTCAAATAGTCAGTGCATTCAGTGCTTTTTATTTGTTCAATTTTAATGTTTTAAATAATTACCCACTGAGGAGTGTATTTGGAGCATTAAAATATAAATTATTAATATTTAGTTTCAAATGTAAATTTTCAGAAGTTTTTGGAAATTTAAAAAAGTTAAAAACAATTTTTTAAAGTAATGTTTAACTAATTCAAGATGCTTAATACCTAGTTTTAAATGCTTATTATTAACCTACTGTTTTCTTAATCTAAATTTACGCTTAAGATGTTTCTTAAACTTTCCACGATAGTATAATTTTTATATTAAAATTTTATATTTGGTGAAATTAAATTTTCAGACTTAAGCAGCTTAAGAGCTTTATTGTATTATATTTTTTAATACTTTAAAGTCCTTAATAGGTGTACTTAATTAAGTCCTTAATTAAAATAATGATGCCTTAATTAAAGTAATTTTGTATATATAGTATATCTCTCTCTATATATAAATCATATTAACGTTTTATATTTGTAAAGAATGGTGTAAAAGGAACTGGCTTTAACAATCATTTCTGTCCTAAATTTTCTAATTTACAGAAAGAAGTGGGAAAAACTTTCTTAAACTAAATTTGCTCAGTTTTTGCAAAAGCGAGCCTTTTTCTTCAATAAACAAATGATAATAACAGCATGAATTATGTTTAATGAACAGAATTATTTTTATGCGAATCTCAAACACACATTCACAAAGATAAATGACGTAATTCTCACAGACTAAATTCCATAAAATCACATTATTTCACATTTTTCTTGTGAATAATTTAAAAAATTTTCCTTAAGATTATACTTTGGGTAAAACAAGTTCTCTTAAGTTCTCAATGCCCCAGATATTTCTAATTCTTTCTTTAATTTAATTTTAAATATTTGGAATGCATCAAAACTTTCGTATGTTGAATTTATATCATTTATGTTGTTATTCTATCAGAAAATTTTATTTTATTGACATAGAGGCACAATAATTTCTTAAAACTATTTTTTTCGTATGAAATGAATGAATGCCTTACTCGAAACTCTGCATCTTTCTTAATTGATTCTCTTTCTTCCACTGGCATAGCAGGAGCGTGGCGATCAATGTTTTCATCGATGTATGTGCTTTTGTTCTCATCAAAGTTCATAAAAACCAAAACAATGCGCCGGTCGATTTGGCCATTTGTCAGTGCTCCTGAAAATCACAGATAACACTTTCAGGAAATTTGTTTTAATAATATACGATATCAAAATTTATTTTCAAAACAAAAAATGCTTAGAATACAACTCCTGCTTAGAACTTAGAACTCCTTTTATTCTGATTCCCGATATGCTGAAGTACACGTATTTTGATCTTTTTCTCCTCCTTTCTACGTCAAGTGAAATTAAGCATTTTAAAACTTGTTCTCGTGTTTTTGATTTGTTTGTTGCTTTGTTAAGTAATATAAAAGAATATCAAAGGCCAGAGTATTATATGAAACTAATCTTTTAATTTAAATGAATGACATGTACACTGTGCGGAAAAAAATGGGACATTTCTATATCTCCCGTTCTACTGGGCCGATTGACGAAATTCAACATGAGTTTTTCGTCTCGAAAGCGCGACTTAAGATATGTATTAGATTTATATATAACATTGTTCTAATATAGGTATTTTGACACAAAATCGAAGTTTTTCTGAAGTAACATGCCAATTTTTTTATATTTCGATTTTACGACTCAAACTATGACAAACTGCCAAGTTTTGTTAAAATCGCACGAGTAGTTTTTAAAAAATTAGCTCTCAAAATTTTAGTCTGTACGTACGTACGTATCTATGTATGTATCTCGCATAATTGAAAAACGAGTAGCTTCAGAACGTTGAAATTTTGTATGTAGGACTTCTATAATATGTAGTTGTGTACCTCCCTTTTTAGTTACAATCGATTGCGCCAAAAATATATAAATGTATATATTTATATATATATCAGGGGTGGCCAAAGTGCGGCTCGCGAGCCTGATACGGCTCTCACAGGCAATTTGTGCTGCTCATGCATGTAAAATATATGTATGAAATATGGTAAACTAAAACTGTACAGTGTCCAAAAGGAAGTCATTAATTAGTTTAGACTCATTTTAGTTATCGGGGATTTCTTTCTATTTAAAACCTCCTCCACTACTTCTATATTGATGTAAATATGAACTTGTGGCTTTTAGAAAATCTAGATGCGGCTCTCGAACATTCTTGAATTCAAACGTGCTGCTCTTACTGACATGAAGGTTGGACAACCCTGATATACACACACATATATATATATATATATAACCGAGAAACAGAGTGGATATGTATATATATATATATATACACCACTCTGCTTCTCGTTTCAGTGCGCTCATTTTTTTAAAATTCTTATATGGTCGTAAATTGCCCATTCTTTGCTTTAAAAATGAATGAATTATGTTTTTCTTATCATCCGGTTAAGGTTTTTATGCCTTCAGTTAATCTGCATGCAATAATTGTAGAATTATCAACAATTTAAAATTTGTTTAATTGCGGCTAATCCTTATTTGTCATAGCAGCCATATTTGTTTACATTTAAAATTTAGTAGGATAATGAATGTAGTTTCTGCACTTTCAGCGTCTTTTTGCCGATTGGGACCAAAATCAAAATATCATTTTTGTGCACCAAAAAAATCTGCCTTGTTGCCGTTGGCCGAATTGTTTGCTTTTGCGTAGAAACTCCAATTTTAATAATAAAAAAATTTTTTTTTTCGATTGCTTTTAACTGTATTTGGTATTTTATTTTTTTTCTATATTTTTCAATTTTTAATGAAAGTATTTTGAGGTTTTATCTATTTTTGCCTTGCCGCGAAGTGAGAACTGAATTAATTGAATGAGAGATATATCTGCAATGAAATTCGAAGGAATAAGTGTATCAGCAAATATTGTAGCCAGAATGTTAAAGAGTAACACAGAATGAATAAGTAGCGCATGCGTATTAGGTAAATGGCGCTGAATCATCTGTGAAAAAATATTTCTTTTTCTGTTTAATTTCTTTTACACATTGTTTTAGATTCATTGTAGTATGTGAATAGAACATGTGGCAACGATTGAATAATTCTTCAGATGCTATAATGTTTGTGCTTTCTAAGTTAAAATGCATGAGATGTAACGCTGTTAAGTGAACCTAGCGCCAGAGTTCGCTATGGTAAATAAATATAGTGAATTTTAAAGAGTGCATTTATTCTATTGTGATTTATGCGCTATTGATGAAGTAAATTTAATTCAATTCAATAAGTTTAAATTAAATGCAGGAAAAATGCTTATAGTTTAATATTCTGTACAAGGAAGCCTTGTGGTGTACACATCAGATTTTTTTATAAAAGTTGGCGATGAACCAAGTTTGAGAAGACTGTTTTAAACGCTAACTTTAGGGAAAAAGATTCTGTGCTACGAAATTACACTGTAACTTTGCCCGGATTCTTAATTTATTATGTTCAGATGATATTTCACTTACCATAGACTATCAAAATCATTAGAAACTATTTATGAATATTGAATGGGAAATATTTACTTTGTGAGAATTTTATCTAAGCAGCAACTAATAAAGCCAAACAATTCTATGATCATATCTATTAATCAATACACTTTCATTGCTCATGCCTTTAAATATTGTATAAATGATGATAATAGCAAGTGTGCTATTTTAGCGACAAGAATAAAACATAAGTGATATTTTAAGCTTCGCTATTTAAATTTTTTTTCATTTCTGCAACATTTATCCGTAATTTTCAAAAGTACAAGTTCTTTTAATAGAAAACGAATTAAAAGCGAATACAGACCTTTTTTGCAGACAAGTAATGGCCCAAGCAGTCCAGCATGCAGCTCTGTTTCGCCGTGTCTGTGAGAATGGTACATCCATGTCAAGCAGTCAGGATCGGAGTCTGTAGGAGCATCGTGTTCATTCATTAACCAACGGTAAACATGTCGAGAACCAGGTTGTACACGGTCATCAATTTTCTCTGCATCTGTGGTATTATCATCGTACAATGCTCCTGAAATAAAAATTGAACGGAAATAAATTGCGACATACAGTAGAATCCATTTTAACCGACAACAATGGAAACTCGCCGACTTCGGATAAGATATTTTCCCGGATAACTGAATATATATTTCTAGAAATTACCTATTCATGTTTTGTGATGTTTTCTGTAGAAACTCGCAGCAGACAAATCCGTCAATTGTTTTTTGATCTATTCGCCCCAATTTAATATATAATATCGAAAATCGTATTGGTTATTAAAAATTGAAACACATACATATGATTTTATATTTCCAAAAAGTAAAACTGAACAACATTTTAAAATGAATGTACTTATTATCACATGGAAGTTACGACTATCAGGAAAGTTAAGTGCATTCATAGTATCACAATAGTTTTACAAATTAGTTGTGAATACAATAAAGCTTTATAACATCATGTACTGATATATGAGCATTTCAAGCCGACAACTTCTTTTACAAGTTTCTTAATCTTGTTATAACTGTAGAATAACAGATTCAAGCCTCAGTTATCAATAGGTAGAGAACATAGTCAGCGACAGCATGGCTATGGCAAATTCGAAATAACAAGCAATGCTCCGAAACGAAAACAATCTTCTCTAAACTAAAATTAAGAGACAGAGCTATTTAAAAACCTTTAATTTCATGAGCACGTAACTACAGTTTATGTGAATTTCTGAACTGGACGATTTAATATCATGGAAGCTGAGAACAAGAGGAAAGCGCAATAATTAAAAATCAACTGTTAATATATTAGGCATATTACTTATCATTTGCCACCTCTTGAGGTATCCAAAAGCTTTATTATAATAAAGGTTTTAAGTTAACTTAGTTAAGGTTTTAAATTTTAAGTTTATGAATTTACATTAAGGTGACATAAACCTTCTGAATGTATTTCAAGAAGGCTACGGTTAGTATGATGATTTGTAGATTAGACGCATTAACTGCATATTCGGCATGCAATAGTTAAGTCTTGCGATGGGGGTTATCAGGAAATAATTCAAGCTATTTTGCGGAGGACCTCCATTTATTTTGCACATTATTTTTTGCATTTGTATTTTGAATGCATTGTCATCATTGAAACCACATTGTTATTCAATTTAACATAAGAAAACAATACGGAATTTAAAAAAAAAAAAAACGCTTGCAATATGATGATAATTCCAAACGTAAATTTACGATATGTGTGATGATGCTTCATAACGTTAATTTTCATATTTTACGTAAACATTGTCTTAACGCGTATCGAATGAATACTTAATAATACTTAAACAATCTTTCTTTTTCCGCGGCTGAATTTTTTAAATTTCATTATATGTAATCATATACAAAAATCTGAGATGTATAATTAAAAAACCTATTTCATAAAAACTGCTTCTAAAAACATAAAGAAAGTTATTCCATAAAATATTATTACCTTCATGAATATATATAAAGAATGTTATTACCTTCGTGAATTTTCTGATATCTAACACCATGTGGATGTATCGATACTGGATGAGAAGCCATATTGTAAAAAACGATATTCAGTATATCTCCGACCTCTCCTTGAAGGATGGGACCCAGAATACCCATCCATGGCTCTCTGGGTTTCTGTACTGTGAAAGTATCATCAGTGTACTCTCGTAGTACTGCTTTTCGATACACTTTGCCAAGTTTTAAAGGATCTGAACTTTGTGATAAATACAGATCCTTATACCTGAAAATGAATAATTAAATATTTTTTGTACAATTATTTATATCTCTAAAATAATTGAACTATTTTAAAAATGTATATATAATTATAATAATGATAATAACTATTAGAATTTAAAATAAATTGATAGATTTCAGTATACAGCTGAAGTGATTCACAACTATGAGACGTGCATTATATTTTACAGATCTTATAATATATTAGAATTAATAAGCGTAATTAATGTAAATTATTATCGCTAGAAAAATGTGTATAAATAAAATTAAGAGGTTTCATTTTTTTAAATAGTCCCTAACACGTTCTGTACAGTCAGAGTTCTAATAAGCTTGTCTATGTATAATTTCTTTCATTCCACTGCTTTAGATGAAACTATCGAGAAGCGCCTTCCTAAGAAGTTTGCTTATAAACATATTAAATCAGTGCAGGCCTTCCTAGTATTATGAATGGGCCGCCCAGACGGTATAGTGGTTACGGGAATCTACTGCGGTACCGAAGGGTCCTCTCCGGAATGGAATCCCGGAGAAGTCCCATGGTTGTAACTGACTGTCCTTTCATAGGAGGAAACGGTGGTCGCCTATTAGGTGCGTCTGCAATAAAATGGCCACCTCATCTGGCCTTAGGAGTAGCCGATGCTGAACAAGCAAATACCCGCCATTCGATAAAAAGTATTATGGTATACCTATGTATGAGCATAGGTATACCATATATATTGAGTGCGAAAAAAGGAGGCAGGGACAATATTTACACTTTCTTGTTCGACGGATCGGAGAAATTCAATTTGGATTTTTTACGTCTCAAAAGCACTAATTAGGGTATACATTAGATTTCTATTTAGCTTTAATCTAACGTATTTATTGCAGGCCCCCTTGGGCCTGTGTAGATTTAATAGACCTTTCTTTTCTCCGCTCATATTGCGACGCATATCTTCCGGTATATAACCTTCTATACCCAATCAACAGGGCGAGGGAACTTGCGAGAATTAGACAGAAATTAAATACCATACAGAGAGGCTAGATGCTTGCGGCTACGCGCGCTTTCTGGACCGTTTCAACGGAGGTGGCTTGTGTGCTTGCCGGTGTGCCCCCTCTCATATAAATATGGCTTTTTCTATAACAAGTTTTTAATGAAAACAAGTAATACATCATGGTAAATAGAATTAAATCATCATGGTAATATAGAATTAAAAATTGATGCTTTTGAAGAATGTCTTGCATTGATTCCGAATGCAGATAAATTTAGACTACATTATAATCGATTATTATGTACTGTAAATGAATATGATATTTATACTGATGGTTCTGGCTTAGAAGGAAATGTTGGTTGCGCATTTATAGTGTATTATTACGGAACTGAGATTGACCACAAAAAATTCTTATTAAATTTCACGAATACTGTGTACCAGGCTGAGGCTTTGACCTGGATCGAAAATAAGTTATCTAGTGGTCAATGTGTCCATATATTTTCTGATGTATTATCGGCCTTACAATCACCTTCTAGACTTAAGTTTGATAATAAACTTATCGTGAATATTAAAATGAAAATAGAAATCTGCGCACAAAATATAATATTATGATACACTGCGGGGGAAAAAAGGGGGGACAGTTCTATATCTCCCATTCTACTGGGCCGATTGACAAAATTCAAATTGCTTTTTTCATGTCTCGAAAGCGCGACTTAAAATATATATTAGGTTTATATATAACATTGTTCTAACATAGGTATTTTGACACAAAATCGGACTTTTTCTGAAATAACATACCAATTTCTTTCCATATTTCGATTCTACAGCTCAAATTAAGCCTAGATATTAAATTTTATAAAATTTCGGGAGAAATTTACGGAGAAATTCAAAAATTTATCTTGGCGAAATTTTTTCAGTTTGCCCCAAGAATAATTCACTTGGCGAACTTCTTTATAAGTGGCAGCCAATTTTCCTTCCATTTTGCCGGAGCGGAAAAATTTACTATTTTACATTGTGCATGAGGAAAAAAATCACTTCGTTTCTACTTCCAAGTAATGTTAGCAAAGTGTCTAAACCACATTTGACGTTTTATCGCTTTTCAACAAATATGCCAAATTTCAAAACGAGCCAAAATATAAATTCACGTATATCTTCGGGAATTTTGAGTAAAAAAGTGTAATTTTTTGCAGGCACGTTTAGAAATACGTCTACTTTAAGATGATGGTAAAAATTTTATAGATTATAATTCAAAAAATTTTTTGAAAAATTTATAAAATTATTTAAAAATACAAATTTTAAAAATAAATCATAAAAAATGGATGAATTTTATTTGGAATGAACCTAAAATTCGAAATGTGAAAGGAAGAATCAAATACGTTTAATAAAAAAAAGAGAGATTAGTAAATATATACCAAACTCAATTAACACTGAGAAGCTAAAATTTTGAGAGCTAATTTTTTAAAAACTACTCGTGCGATTTTTGCAAAACTTCGTAGTTTGGCGTAATTTGAGTGGTAGAATTGAAATATGAAAAAAAAAAAAAAAAAAAAAAAAAAAAAAATGGTATCTCATTTCAGAAAAAGTCCGATTTTGTGTCAAAATACCTATGTTAGAACAATGCTATATATAAATCTAATGCTATATATAATCTAAGTCGCGCTTTCGAGACATGGAAAACGCAAGTTGATTTTCGTCAATCGGCCCAGCAGAACGGGAGATATAGAACTGTCCCTTTTTTTTGTGTAGTGTACATTGAATTAAGGCACATGTAGGTTTCCATGGTAATGAGAGGGCTGATGCACTGGCAAAAGAGTCACACTTGGCGTAATGAAATTAAACTGCAGGACTCTGGAAGAAACACTATTGGAATTTTATACATTAGTATAAATGAAAAATGGAAAAACAGGGCTCTGAGAAAAAGAAAAATTATATGTGTACTATACAGATTTATAAAAGGAAGAAATTGCTATACTGATATATATTTGAATCAGGTTTTGACGGGACACGGGCGTTTTCCCATGTATTTGAATAGATTTGCCTTGCAGGAAAACAATCTATGCCGGTTATGTAGAGTAAGAGGTGATAATGTTCCTTCGTTGAAACTGTGGCCTGACTGCTAGTATTAGAGATAAAATGAAAATCGAATTTCCAAAAGATGTTAAGGAATATAGAAAAATTCTGCTTTATTCCAGGAAAATAATGAATATTATCAACGCACAGAGATACTTGACTGGAGTAGATGTGTGAATGATGTATATCTGTTTTCTTTTCCTTATGTGTCGTTTTAAAATAATTTTTTAGAACATACCTTGGTTTACACATCACTATGAGTGTGAGAAGCACCCTACATTTTATTTACAACTTACTACATTTCAAGCCACTAGATGGAAGGTACAGCGAAACAATGAGATACGCTAGCAGGGCAAAAGTGGCAAAAGAGGCTATGTATTTCAGCAGAAAGTTTTTTTAAAAAATTTGAATCCTTGGTTTAAACTTTGGAGTGCTACTGGACAAGAGTTTTACGGCATTGCAGACGACATAATGCGGGTTAGTTTTTCCCAGTGATGCAGTTGAGGTTGTAGGAAGGGGACGTAGCTAAACTAAAGTTAGTAATTTTGAGTTTCATTTTTTAGCTTACATGCATATGATAAAAATATCATCGCATATGATAAAAATCATCAGATATATGAAAATTTGTTTATAGCCATGCTTCGGTTAAAGACATACTTTCAACAATTGATTTATATCTAATGATGTGTAACTGGTACCTATTGCGCGTTACTGAATTTCTGCATACTGTTTTGTAGTAAATATAAAAAGATGATAGGTAATTTGTAACTGAATATTTTCTTTAATGTTACTTCACTGCAGAATTATATCTGATAACTATCCTAATTTTCGTCAAGGAAGTTGCGCACTCATTTATATTCCATTTGGTGTATCTCCTTTAGTAAAGACTACTGCCAGGTTCACCCTACAACTTGGAAATTTGCATTTTGAAATAAAAGCGGCGCGTACTGTCATCTATTCTGCATATTTATGTCACATTTAACAAAAAGATTTATATTTTATGTTAATCAAGTCAGAATTTGAAAAGCAGATTGCCGCTGTTGGAAGAGAAAGCGCTTTTAAGATTATTTTCATTTCGAACATGTTCGAAATGAAAATAATCTTAAGAGCGGACTGTATGAAAGCTGATATGAAAACAAACAGGTATGAATAAATACTTTTGCATATTTATAACAGTTTAGTGACCAGAAATTAAGAATATTTAGTTCTGATTCAGTAGGTCATATATTCAACATATATGGCTGTATATTCGGGAGTATAGTGAGGTATCACTTCTACGTTTCTGATAAGTTTCTTCTATGTGATATTAAACAGAACCCACGTCTTCAGTTAGAAGATAACTGACAGAGGCATTCTCTAGATGCCCGTGATACTTTCTGGGCATCAAGATACTTGCTAAGGTTGTCCGCAAAAACATAGAGGGAAAAAATATCGCTCACGGAAGCATTGTGGGAAGATGAAGTGCGAGAAATATAGCATTATATAAAATAGCGTGACTGAAAAGGACTAGATAAAACATCGCGGTTCCAAAACATAACAGGGCAGAATGCCATGATAAAAAGTATAGCGGCGAGGAAACTTCGAGCATTCCAAAGCGAAGCAATACAAAAGAATAAAAAAGTACCTATATCATCTAAGAAGCATAAAATAATGCGTTATCTTCTGTATCGTGACGAAAATAAACACAAAAATATGTATTATATTCATATGAGACCCACAGAAGACTATGAAACATATTTTTGCCAGTGCATCATTATTTGGTCTGTTTTAATCGAAATGGAATTGTTAAAACACAGTTTTTAAAGCTTTTTTGGTCCCTCTACATTTTAGACATATTTGGAATTATGAGCATTATTCATAATTATTTAAAAGAAAATATTACATATTTTTTCCATTGTACATTTAGAGTGTACACGAAAAGTAATTTTGACACAAAACATTCGTAAACTTAAACGATTCTAAGATAACTTTTTTAGTAATCAGGCAAAGCTGCATTATTCTGTTAATTACGGCGAAATTATTGTTGTCTTCGTAAGAACATAAGAAGGATTTTTTAAAAATATTTTAGGGTGTTTTAAACGTAGCTTCAATATCTCAATATATTTTGATTAGTTTTTAAGTACTTAATGAGCAGTATCATTTTAGTTTTAGGTCAAAACTGCGACAGCTATAAATAATAACGTAATTTGAAACAAAATTAGCGAACATCTTTCTTAGCGGCTGAATTTATGCGTGTATTGACTTATAAATTATTTTATGGCTGTATTAATGTTAAAAGTTTTCAGGCATGGGAAAGAAGCTGCCATTTTAGTAGTTTTTTTTGCAGAAATCAAACTTTTAAAATACGTGAAGAATTGGTAGTAGCAAGTATTTTGTTAAAAGATACTTTAAACATGAGGTCATTGTAAGAAAGAAAATAATTCGAAGAAAGTCTTTCGTTTTGAAATTTGCAAGAAAATAAGTTGATTTTATATTTAAAGAAAAAATTATTTCTTGAATTTCGTTTAATAAACAGAAAGACGAAACTTACTCATCTGCTCCAGGTCCAAGTAAATTTCCTTCTGGAGCATAATCCCAATCAACTTCAACAGCTCCTATGTAAATAATCCTCGTTGGACGATCTTCTTCAGGTATCCTTTGAGTTTCCACAAGACATGCAAAGAAACATACCATAAAAACATACTTGGACAAATGATAAAGTCTCAGTTGTATGCCATGCATTGTCATGCACGGGCAAAGTTTTGGCGAAGTCCGAGAGCAAAATATATGCAATGTCTTTAAACGCCTCAAGAGTTAAACATATGAACTCAATCACACAACCACCACTAATGTCAAAAAGGAAAAGAGCAAGCAACTTCTCAGCAGCAAATGAGCTCTGGAAATGTTTTAAAGAACTTTCAGGAACGGTGTCAAAATGTACAAAGAGAATCTGCCAGGGTTGGTTTCTAGTTTATTGAAGAGAGCTTAGATATTGGGTAAGGGAAAGTGTGCTACGAATATATGATCTGACCTCCAAGAGTTTTGTAAGGTGAGGATTTTGCAAAGAGGATTAAACACCAACAAGTCCCAGATTAATCGCCGAATTTTCCACTGGTACAGAAATGAAAAGAAAGAGGTTACTAATGAATGACATTAAATTATGTTACGCGATCATTTAAATCCTTAATTTATTGAGGATTGATTAAATCTTTTTGATAGTTGCGTGTGTAAAAAATTGTTACGAAAGACAAGTGCGTCATGTTGAATTCACTCCTCTCCCAGATGTGAATGCTAATTTATATGGAATCTAGAGTAGAAAACATTCCTTCACTGGGGAATTTTCTGTTAAATAAACTACATGCATATATCTTTTATTCTTTTCGCCCAAAAACGTCATTTACTTTTCCCGCTAAATATCCATTAAAGCATAATTTTAGGTTTAACACGCAAATTTAAATTATATGCCACACTATTTTTAGTTGAATATTTTTAAAGAGAAAGGCTGGTGATGTTATTGCTCTTCATAATAATTCCAATTATTTTAATTCGTATTATTACAGCCGTTGTAGTGCGGAGGTCACCTAGTTTGCCGACTACTCACATTCATTCTCAAGCTCCACATATGATATTGTTTATGTTTTCGCATGCTAATTTGCCCCATGTTCCCTCACATTTTAAATGATGTGTGCATCATAGTATTTTCACAGTATCTATTGCAGCATAAGAGCTACGTAAAAATACACGAGTTTTTATGGTGTATTCTATAGAACAGAAAAAAAAAGGATATAAAATTGGGACAGTTTTAATATACTCGTAAACTCATGAGAAGTAGCATAAACCTAACCCAGTGTATTACGGTGCAGTAATAAACCACAGTCTTTTCTTTCAGCCGCTTCTAAATATTTAATAATTAACGCAATAAATAACAAGAAATATAAAACAAAAGCAATAAATATGTTTATTAAACTTTATTACTAGCTTATAAATTTTTAGTGTCGTCTACCGATTATATTTACAATGCACATTTTACAATTATTTACATATTTACAATTATTTACAATGCAGCTTTTTTATTCCATGTGTTTGGAATAAAATTATACAGTGGGTTTTGCAGTGCAGCAGCCATGAAGACGTCTGCTTTTTTGCACTTGAAAACAAACTTACAATGTATGGAAATTGAGTTTTAAAAATGTGTGTGCGGAATGTTAGAATGACGTTAAGGCAAAATTATCATTTTATGGAAAGCTGTTGAGTACTATTTCGCCTTCTGTTGTATATCAGTTATTAGAAAAATCTTCATCCTTTCCGCTCAGCTTTTAGTTTCAGAATTAGTTAGAAATCATAGGGAATTAATTCAAATGAAACAGCAGGATGATCTATTTGAGTGACTGTATTTTTTACTAGTAAAATTTTTACTAGTAAAATATCTTACAAGTAATACTCTATAACAGCGAGTGAGAGAAGTAATATTCTTAGAAATCTTCTTTTCCACGCGCAGTTATTCAGTTTATAAGGTTTTATTTCCTTCCTTTCAGCATGCCTTCGTGGTGGAACGGTAGCACATTCGGCGCGTATTCGAGAAGTCCAGGTTCGTGTCCCGGCAAAGGCATTGAACATTTTCCATGTCTCCAGCTTCAAAATAACCTAATGATTATACAAGCTAAAGTTAGTGTAACGGTTTTTAGATTAATTTGTAATTAATTCTTCAGCTATCAGTCTTACAATTAGCTTTGTTAAACTTGCACATCATTAATCAAACTGCATCTTGCACACTATAACTCACACGCTATTTATATTAGCCTCTATCACTGTTGGTCTCTACTGTTTGCTTTGGTTCATATTCGATCAAATTATACCAATGGTCTCAAACCGAAATGGCATGCTGGCCGAATGCTCGCTCGGGAAATAGCTGACGGGCCAAAATTTCTTTATTTTAACAAAATAAAATATATTTTTAATAAATTTAAAATCTCTCTTGCTAAATATTTAGCAAAACGTACCTTAATAATAATACACAAAGAAAAAAATTAAAAGTTTTATTTATTTTCTATCTGAAATTTAAAATTTGGTCCCTACAAGATATTTGTTTTCGATACACTTTGTAATTCAAATATACAGGTAATTAAAAATTGCATTTTAAGTCTGATATTTACTTTAAATAATTCTGTCATGTTCAGTTAATCATTAAGCAACTAACGATAATTGAAACTTAAAAAATTATGAAAACTTTTCATGCGGTGCAAAACTTAAAAAAAAGTAATGGCGATTTTGTTTCTTTCATTTACACATTAATTTTTTCTTTGACTTCTCATGCTGTCTCATGTTCTCATGCTGTCTTTAACTTTAGCCACATTTAACAGTTCTAACGTCTCAACAGAGCCTTTTCATCCAGAACTTAATACACTGTTTCTTACACTTAAATTCTGATTGCCACTTCTTCACACTTAAATTGCGATTGTTGATTTCTTAACCGAAATATGCATATAGATATCTGTTATTTACTTAATAACTAACCTACTTCTAACTCCTCGAAATGTATGTGCCTGTTAGTTCAGATATGTTAAAATATGAACGTTCTCGTGATCCTGAATAATTACGTCATGAACGACAATATGTGATGGTTAATCCAGGAATTAAAATGTCACAAACTGTAATTTCAGATATTAAGTATGTACCTAATAAATTCGCCATTTAAAATAATTATGCAAAAATTTTGATGAACAGGACTGGAAGCAGATATTTGAGAATTTGCAAAATTTTTAAAAACGTTTTCTAAAAGAAAGTTTATAAGGGTTCTTTAGTATAATGAGAGCAAATATCTTTCTTCTACAAACTAGCTGTTTTGTATACATGTAAGAAAATAATGAAGAGTTGAAATCAAACCAATTATTGCTCGAATAAAAAGCAATTATGATGAAAAAATGATTTGTGGAGACTTCTTGTAATGCTTCTTGAATAACAAATGTTTCAGGGAAATTTCTATGTTCAAGTTAGGTAATAGAGATGGCAATACTAAACTGGCAGTAAATCAGTAGTAGGAGTAATTATATATTACTACAGTTATGTAATAGTTCTGTAGGTAGGTTAATAGAACATATGTCGTTTTTTATCTACGTTTTTTGGGGAATTCTTGGAAAGCTTATAAAACTGATGACTTAAGAGCGGTAGGCTATGAATATTTTAACTTTAATCACCGATGTAATTTTATAGAGCCCGATAATGGTGCTCGTACTAAAAAAATTGGAAGATTCTTTAATTCGTCAAACCAACACGACCCGACCACTTGAATCCGCATTTAAGTAAATTTATGTGGCGCAGACTTCACGTAGAAAATGACTGTTTTTTTTTTTTTTTGTTGTTGTTTTGTTTTTTGTTGTTGTTTCAAATATCACTAAGGATTTTTCACCGCTGGGATAACTGACGCAAGTTTTAATGGATTTATTTGTCAAATAATCTCAACTCTTGTGCTTATATTTATTTAAGAGGGTTATATATTGCATCCCCAGTTTGTATTTGTTCATTAGGTATCTAAATAAAGAGTAATCTGTACTTATCTAATTAGGTAAGAGTCATCTATTCCTTCAAAGTTCGACCTGCATGACTGGAGCAAATTTAGTTGAATGTCAGAAACTTTGGTCGACGGGAAGACACCGGTATTTTCGCTTTAAATAAGTACTGGTATTTTCGCCTTAAATATTTATTTAACTTGTATATTACTACGGTTAGAAACGTAATAGAGAGTTAAATCGATGAAAGTTTGTTTTAATTTCTTTTTTATAATAAGGAGAATAATGAAAAGTATTATTACGAATTTTGTATCTTATTTACGTACTTATTACGAATTTTGTATCTTATCAATAATTTTTGTGAAAGTATATGTGAAATTATATATATATATATATATTTTGTATAATGTAACATGAAAATCTAAAGAGGGGATGCTTTTCTGGAAAAGTAAGAATTAAGGGGCAAATTGATTACTATCTCGCTAGTTTGGAGAAATAGCGCCAAGCTGGCTATTGTTTTGGCGACTATTTTTTGTAGCCAAATCTGGAGAAAAATCACTAAAAGTCGCCAAGCTTGTCGACCATATGGCGATCTTTTGGTCCGGTCACTGTATAACTGTAATGGGTATTATAATTGAATAAATGTAACTGATCACTCTATGCAACTGTAACCGCATCCGGCCTTTATATGTAACTTTAACCGTATGTGCCTTCCAGTAATTTCGAAAAGTATTAGAGACTTCTTGGCGACCGTGTAAAAACTATATAAGTCCGGAGACAGCATAAGTCTTACTCTCAATTGTTAGTTCAGGGCGACTACGTTGCTCTGAGTTTTCAGAGCGTTGTGTTTAATGTTCTTAGTAGTTTGATGTGTAACTACTGATTCCGCTCTGTAATACTTTGAAGAGCACTACGAGTATTTTTGTGGAAAGTTCCACAGCTATGAAGTGTTTCTTTTGGTAAAATAATTTTTATCAAGCTGTCATCAATTCTGTGTGCGTTCAGTCTATTCCGACGCAACAGTATAATTGTACATGGCACAAGCAGTAAACTTTTACACAAAGTTAAAGGAAATTTGGGACATAAATTTGAAACAGAAGAAAGTTAAGCAATTACTGTTACATTCACATTACTTTGCAAATTATGTTAACTAATTTATTTCACGCAGCTTTTGTAAACTTATTTTTAATTTTCTGTAATTATTTTTAATTTTTGTAACTTATTTTTAATTTTTTCAAATTAAAAACTTATTTTTAATTTGAAAGATCGTGAAGTTAACCGACTGCAGTTAAGCACTCACTTGTTGAGCGACCCCATCTTCTATGGTAATTATTGCTTACCTGGATGAGTACTAGCACCCTTCTTAATTTGTAAAAGTAATTTAGAATTACCCTGTATATGCGAATTCTCAGTATCCTGTCTACATATTTTTATCCTATCTTCCCAGTATAATTTTGACAGATCTTACATGTAGAAATGCTTAGCTTAGCTCTAATTTGATAAACACTGTTATATAGGGATTTTAAATAAATGAAATTGTGATTGACCCATTGTTGACAAAATTGTCAATCTAAGTAATATTGTAATCTGAAATGCATAAGTCTGCAGGTTAAATATGGTGATTTAAATATGGTGAACAGTAATCAGAGATGACTCTCAGGAATTCTCAGACTAAGATTGCGATATGCGACACGAAGATAGTTATTCTGAAGATGAACTTCTTGATAAAGATCTGACTGCATTAACGTAAATTATAAGTCAGTTTGTAGAAAATAATACAATCAAAATTTTAAAAGCAAGACTATGATGGCTATATTATCCTGCTACCAGGAATTGTTATGTGAACAAAAAAGGAAGTAATAACGATACCGGAGGAATTTATAAGTACCTTTAAAAATCAATAATTACAGGAATTACAAACAAAATCTGAAGTATTGACTAAAAGAAAACATGTATTCTTTAATACATATGAGTATGAATATCCGAGTTAGTTCGAATTTAAAAGTAGACTTTAGTATTAATTGCAAGACTTTAATGGGAAATTAAAGTAGAATTTAGAATTAATAGTAAATCCTGCTTATTCTCGATCATAATTTCCTTTATTTACTATTGTTAAACTAATACACATTGAGGCCGTTTTACTCTTATATGAAATATTAATAAAATTTTGTGTAGTATATTCTTAGTCCAGTTTTTAATCTAGGCATAATGCAGATTTACTAAGCTAATATTTCAGAAGAATACTCATATATTCTTGAGGTTTACATTGTATTTTCTAGACCAGGGAATATCATGAAATGTAAAGGGATTTTTGTAACATAGTATGTTATCAAATAAGTAACACTCCATACGGATTCGTAACTTAATAGTATTTATTAACTTGTTTAACTACATTTCCTTTGGTCAGACATAACATCTGATGTTACAAAATACAAAAAAAAGTTAATATAAATAAGTGCTTCAAGTCTCAAGAAGTCCATTATTTGCATTGAGCATTTTGTGTCAAACACAGGAATTCAAAATTCGTTGAGAATTAACTTTGCGAATAAGATTTTAAACGCTGGTATTAGATTTCCCTTAAATGCCCATTAATGGAATTAAGCTCTGGACTCTGAGAATCGAAGCACGTAATTTTTTTTATACATCAGCAACAAATTCGTTAATATATAAATAAACATATATTTTGTATCTCAACACAGTAGAAGTCTCTACTTTATTTATATTCCTAATGCATTGTCTTCCCCACAGCCATTTTCGGATAAAAAAAAATAATTTTTTTAGAATGGATTGCCTTCACCCAGTGCATGATAAGGCTTCCGCTTAAATAAAAAATAAACTAGGTAACATATATCCTCCCTTCTTTTAACTTTTTGCAAGGTGTGAAAGTTCCTTCCAAATAACCGCACAGTTCAATGCCTAATTTAATAATCAAATATTTAAAATTTCTTATTGCCTAAAACGATTATGAAATTTAACACAAAATAATTTTAGTTTTGGCACTTTGATAAATGATAAAATATCAGTACCTTTTTAAAATTAAGTTATTTCTAAGAAATTAAACACAAATCAGTTACTGGTCTTAAAGATTAAAATCATTTTAGGTTTATATGTTTATATTTACTATATATATATATGTATATGCATATATAACCATGTGTATATACATGGACGCGTAGAGCACAGTGATTTTTAGAAACTGAATTATTAATCTCTTCATATCAAAGTAAATTTAAAATTGAACTCTCTGTAAATATAATTTTAAAATTACACAGTTGTTAAAAAATTTCTTGAAAGCTTCCTTACTTCTTCTGTTATACAATTTATTAAACTGAAAGTAATTTGACAATAAAAAAAATTAAGATCTCTCAATAACTAGCAGAAAATGAGTTAAATTATTAAGTCACACAAAGTTATAACACATACGAGGGATTTGATCAAATTTAAATCCCTGACTAAAATTCTATACATTTTTATTTCAGAAAACTAGAAGTAGGAATTGTTTACAATACAATGAAAACATTTTAAGAGCTTAGATTTTTTTTACTATCTCCTTCAATTAAATTGCTGAATCTGCTAAACGTGATAAAAGTGACCAGGCAGTGGTTTTCTATGAGTGTTCTAAAATATGAATATAATTAGCAATAAAAATAATAAATATAAGAAATGATATGTGTTTCAAATTTTGTAAATATATGAAATGGGTAATCTTTGTAAATATATATTATACAAGTGCATGATTAACATTTGTATAGTACACTTTGTAAAAGTGCATTATAGAAGTCTCTTAATTGTGTATAAAAATTGAGGTATTTCGGATTTTCTAAAATACAAAAAAGCTCTATAGTGTGCCACTTATCTTTTATTATGGAAACTAACATGTTTCAAGGAATTAGTTTAGTTGAATATGCTTATTAATTTCATGCACTTCTTTTGATAGTAATAGTTCATCAACAATCATTGATTTTTAATAACAATATTACATAATTTTTGGAAAACCTACTGTTGAAATTGTGTTATAGTACATAAATAGCAAAAATACACCTGATAGACAGATTTAGAAAATATTCAGACAGGTGGACAGGTGTTTTGGATTTCGTAATAAAGGAACAAAACTCATTTTGGAATTTATATTTTCTGATTTAATAAAGTTATAAATATTTATTCATAAATTATATTTATGTAAATGCTTAATTGAATATTAAGATCACTTAATTTTAATGTTAAAATTAATTTATAGATTATAACCATATTAATATACCTGTATGATTGGTAATCTCACATAATTTAAACAGATGAGAAATAAATCATTTGTAAAGTTATCTCTAAATAATCTACAAATATGTCAAATGTGTGATATCTATTTTCTGTCTAGAGGAAGCAAACATTGTAAGACACCCTGGGCCATTTAAGTAAAAATTGTACCTTTATATGGCCACAAAATTACATAAAAGAACATAAAAAATTAATGGTAAACAACTTTTGATCACTAATCCAACATCTCTCTTAAATTTGGCAATTCAGTGAGGTTTGGCATTGACTTTAAAAGTTCAGCTAAATGTTCACAGTTTAAAGAAAACGTGAAATTGATATCAAGATACTTATTAAATAAACAGTTATGCAGAAATTATAAAAAATTTAACCAGGGTGTTAAAGGGAAAAGGTCAAAGATGCAGACAGTATTAAAAAATCAACACATGGCTTCATCTGCTATGGCTGACTGAAAGACGTTGGATTAGTTGTTTACCAATAACATCTCTTACGAAAAACATATCGTTACAAAATGATGCTCCAATGGCTGTTTTTCTGAAACACAAACCATTACAAAAATATTCCTGTTTCATACTCATTTTTATAAAAATAACTACATTATAACTTAGCATCTCTAATAAAATTACAAGTCTTTTGTTTGTTCATTCTGTACAACACATATTAGGTAAAAGGCTATTTATATCAGCGTTCTACTGTGTATGTGACAGCCATGCCGGCCCGCATGTGATCATCCACGTGACAGTGAAGGAACCATGTGCCAGGATTGTCCATAATCATTTCTACAGTTTCGAAGACTCCGGGGAAAAGGTACACGACATCAGCTCGTCTGGTGCTGTCCGTCCGCCTGAGGAATGTTTGACCGTGGAAATGGGCAGTGTGCATGTCTACTTCGGTACCCATTCCAATGAGATACCATGCAGCTAGTGTATTTCTCTTTGCTACTAATCCATCCAAGGATCCGTACAATTTCCCATTGACAGCTGTTTATGTAAGAGAAAAAATAATCTTACAAATCTCATTCAAGATTGTGTCAGAAATTTCATAAACATGTTTTAGTAATGCATACAAAATAATTTAGGTAGCACAAGATCAGACAAAATCACAATTATTTACATAAGAGATGGCCTACTATCCACTCATGAAATACTTTTCTGCTCCACTCTACAGTTAACAAAATTTAAATTTATTATTTAGTGACCTTGAACGTTCTGTGAGTATAGTTTATATATTTACGGGCAATTATGGGGTTAAGAATATTATAAAAAGCAATTCAATCCCTAAAAGTGATTCTTGCTTTTCATTCGCGTCCAAATTTTTCTTAGATTTCAATCTAAGGACTTAGAATTTAAGGTTATAAATATTTTGCTGATAAATGCATTCTAAATAACATTTTGAGTTTTTATGTATGTGCTAGTTTTCGTATGGTTTCCAGACAGATTTATCTGCAGAGTTATTTACAAAGATAACTCAAAATAGTTGAGACAACTCCTTTAAAACAACCCATATTTACTATTTCAGAATATATTTCTGAATATTTAATTGTTGTTTTTGAGTCCATATTTTATGGAAGAATTGTTGCCAGAGCATCAAAGAGATTAGACTTCTACTTTCCACCCCAATTTTGAGGAAGTGCAATCTGTGGGGGGGGGCGTTCCGTGTCTCTCACCCTCTCCGCTGTTATCAAGCACACGAGAAGACTTTTGGCTCTCCAGATATTTAGGGTGCTCCCATGCGGCAAAAACATTTACAAACATCCATGCCTTCTTCGGGATTCGAATATTCTGTACTGCAGTCAGAGTCACTGATCACAATGCCGTCTGGGTGGCTGAATATTGAGTGAAAGGAATATTGTGAAGGTTAATGAAGAAAAATGCAAAATTTTATTGAATTTCGGATGTACAAAAATTAGCTATCTGTGGTTTAGAGAATAATGCAGCATACCTCAAGACCCTAATGTAATAGGATATTTCAAAGAAATATAATGTCCTGGATGATTTATGGATTTATTTTAAGGCAAAAGAAAAAGTGATTTACACCAATCAACTAATACTTTCATAAATAAAGCAACTAAAATAACTGATGTAATTGTTTTAAACAGAAGATCAAAGTATTGTCTTTAAAGTAGTTCATTTTAGAACAAACAAAGAAATCATTAAAATGAAAATAATTCCTGACTTTGGGTAAAAGAACATGTAGAAATCGTAGATGATAAAATATGCATTTCACTGTAGCTTTCCATACTATTTTTTAAGACCAGAAGTATTAAACATTATTCTTCTAAGAGCAGTTATTTGAGCTTCTGGAAGCATAGCGTAAATTCTTATTTAGTTCCTTAGACAAGTTAAGCGAGTACCGTATTCAATGCATTGGAATGATATCCTAAGTTTTAAGGTGTTCAGCCACCGAAGTAAGTCGATGAAATACAGCACTGCCATCCAAACAGAAAAAAAAAAAAAAAAAAAAAAAAAAAAAAAAAAAAAAAAAAAAAATTCTCAACCCACATCATTCCTCAAAAGCCTTACATGACCGTGCAGAACTTCATTTTATATCACCTCAGTTCTATTACAGGACATGAGCCATAGCTATGAAGCTTTGTGCTGCCGTATCTTGTGGTTCTCCTCAAATAAGCAAACCGTCCCTATAAAAACCGAGTCTTTCATCGGTATGTAACATTTCATGGTATCGGCATATAACATTTGTAATAAAAGACTACGTTAACTAGGCTCTCTCCATATAAAAGTACTTTCATAATCACTACTTAAACTGAAATTCGTTACGGGAATATAACTAGTCTACATTCGTCTTGGCTTTACTGATGTATTGGCGTAAACGCCAAGCTGTCTTAAAAGCCGATTTGGCTTAAATACCGATATCATCTTATATACTTTGTAAATTCTTATGAAAGACTGAGAAAGTGGGATGGGTGCAAAATCAATAGTCCTCTCGCCTAAAGGTTATTATTCGTGAAATATTCAGTCGCAGTAGGTTTGCTTATTAGAGTACCAGTGCTGTTAAGAAGTCCCAAGTCAACCGTTTAACAGTTGCGCAAATTTTTGTTTTCGTGTCAGCAATGAAAAATAATTGTCTTCAGATGCTGTAGTAACTTTCGGATAAACATGACTTATAAGATGACTTTTCTATGCCTCAAAAGCGGTTCTAGATATTTGAGATTATACTCTGAGGAAAACTAGTTTTCTAGAAGCCCCCAGATGGTTTCGATACGCCTTACATCTATCAAACCTGAGTATTTTCGACAGAGCAAAGAATGTTTATATGGCCTTTGCTGAAATACAGCATAAATTGCTTGGCTTCACTGAGCAGACGATGAGCAAATTTATAGATTTATTTTTAATTGCTTCATAAAATTTAAAATTAACTTTCTAATAGTTAATATTTTAATCATTCGTTATTATTACGAAACACATTTTAAAATAAATTTATTTAACGCATGATTTTTAAGTATTATCATCATCAAGGGATATAAATATTATTGTTATATGCGTAAGATGCACTGAATGGAAAATTTTAGTTACAATTTTCTATGAAAATTTTGAAAGTATAATTCTCAAGTTCCCCATAAGTAAAATACGTTATACATAAATGTATGTAAAGAATACGTACTTAGTTTCAGAAACTTATAGGGTATTTTGAACGCTTTATCTCGACTTGCTAGGGTTTTATTTTGAAGTTGAACAATATCGATAAATATTACATATATACAGATAATAAACATAACTGTATCATAACATCATCGTGCTTACCGTGCATCCTGTTGCTTAAAATGAAGCCAGGATCCAATGGATTAACAGTTTCAGGACTAGTGGTATACCTGTAAGTATTTTCCTTTATATACCAACTGCGATTTTCATCGAAAATGGTGAACAAAACAGCAAATTCGTGATCCATATCTCTTCGACGTCCTAAAAATAATATTTTTAATAAAGATCATGGTTTTAAAAAATTTCGGCTGCAGTATGAAAGGAAAGTTAATAATCAAAATAAATTAATCTAAGTGAATAAATATAAAATTGTGAATTAAGAATAATCAAAATAAGTGATCTTAAGCTGGGAGTAAATAAGTATCTTAATTTGTACAATAATAACTAACCTAAATCTTAAAGGTAACTTTGCTTTTTAATATAAAGAAAAACTTCTATTTTTTTAAAAAGCTTAGGTTATTACACAAAATGATTAAGATAAGATAAATGATATGATTCAATGATAAAGAGCTTCAAAAATTTACAATTTGCCCTACCTTTGCTAGTCAATGTGCCAGGTTTGCATGTAATCAGTGGTCCTATAAGACCAGAGTTAGTATCTTTTACCACATCTACTGCGGAATAATATGCCCAAGATGAACAATTAAATCCATTTCTGCCTGGACCTGCTCTCTCAGGAACTGGCCACTCGTAAATGTGAGTATCGCCTGGAGCAACTGGTTCTTCGTCCTCTTCAACTAAATCATCAAATCCTTCGAACTTCTCCAAAAGGACACCGTGAGGATGAATGTTGTAAGGGCGGCTGGCCATGTTTTTAAAGACAACTCTTATGAGATCTCCGACTTCTGCCCTGATAAAAGGTCCCAGGATCTCTAAATGCATATCATCTCTGCCTCTCGGTTTCATATGCGTAAAAGAGGCATCAGTGAATTCTCTAAAGACAGCTTTTTTGTAGATGCGACCAATGCGATTTGGTCCATTAGCCACAAAAGTTCGACTCTCCCTATAAGAGCAAAAATGTATATTTAAGTTTTATAAAAACATTAAATATAAAATCAAAATACATGATTAGATTAAAGACTACCAAATATATACAAGAATAATTAATATTATAATCTACTAAATATTGTCGAATTTCAAGAAGAGTATTTTGGGGAAGAGAAACTCCTCTTACTAAGATGTACGAAAACACCTTCAAATTGTATAGAACAGTGTAACATTTCAACATTTGCCTAAGAACATCTGAATTGATAGCATTATTTTTCAACAAATAAAATATGTTTATCAGCCCCGTGTTCACTTATTTTATTTTTATGTAATAACAGCTTGAAAACAACGTCATTGAAAATATCATCACATGTTCCCGAAAGATTGCATGGCTTTCCTAAGATTGTCAGGCGACCAAAATTTGAGCCACATGCAAAAATTTAGAAAAATCATATGAAACGAAAATTTTTATCTTCTGCTCTGCGAAGGATGTTTTAATTCCTTATTCTATTGTTCTTCTTTTACATAAAATATTTCAGAAATTTCATCTGTGTAACAGGAAATATGGCCGTGAGGAAAAATATCAAAATTTGCAAGATTTAAACCAAATCTGGCTGGCATACCATCAAATATTTTATGCGAAAGGGTAACTTTTTATGTAAGCTTTAATAAAAAATTCTTTTGTGCATTAAAAATGTAAAAATGTACATATAAATGTTTGACTTACTCATTCTTTAGAAGGTCAGATCCATCTACGATATGCCTGTTGATTGGTGCATAGTCCCATTCGACTTCTATGGCTGCAATGAAGTATTCTCGAACTTTCTTCGGTTCATAAAACAAATCTCTCTGAGGGAAATTCTTAGAACCATGGCAGTCATCTACATGATAAATGGCTCTCATACCTCCAGCAAAATGATTGTTAATTCTGCAGTCCAAGGCCCAAGTTCCTAAGAACAGAACACACATTAGAAACACAAAAATACCTTTATTTATATTTAACTAGATATCTAAATAGAAAAAGGCTAATTAAACCCCTTTAGTTACTTTTTATGTTATTACATTCTGATGTACTGAACAGCTTGCTTAGTCAAATTCTTTATGATTTCTTTCAAAAGATGAAAATCTTATTAGTTTCTTCGATTAAAAGTTTCAATTTGTTGCTGCAAAACATTTCAAAGGGTTATTCATCAGATTGTACTTCATTAGCCGCTCAACCACCTGCGATAGCTTACGTCATTACATTGAGTTTATGAAGTACTGCGCCGTTTTACAAACTGAAGGTCTGTAGCAAATCTGTCGCAGGCCACATGTCTATAAAATATTTACTTGTCTCTGTCATTCTGTAATTCTCGCAGTCTTAGAAACTTTTCTGTTACTTTTATACTGAAGTAGGCCAAATAATATTTGATGGCCTCTCTTTTTTTCGGTGATAATACTCTGTTTATTAAAGACTTCAAAACAATTCTATCTAATTTTTTTCATTTAGTGAAGCATTTTTATTTAATGTTGTATATTTTCAAAATTATTCACATCGAAAATTTTTTCCGCCTCCAAACCAAATATTAATTCGATAAATTTCATGCATTAAATATATAGGTGATTAATTAAAGACTATTTGAAATTTTTTTCTAAAGTTATCGTGAACGGATTTGATTGCTATTCATAACACGAACGCCTCAAAAAGTCTAACTTAAAGAAAGAATCACCTATTGTTTCATTTGAAATCAAAAGCTAAAAATGATTAATCTTTTAAGAGATAAATGTGCGTCGAATGCTATACTCGAAATAAGTTGAAAGTTAGCATCTTTACATCAAGTGGTAACCGAGATGTGAAAGTTAAGGAAAAGTAATTGAAATTTAAATGTTACTCTAAATGAAATACACGTAAGAAGAAAGTGAAAGAACCTTATTGCTTTATATATTATGGCATGTGTAGGATAAGCATAACATTTATATACGCTGAACACAAAATATTGCAATCAATTCAGCTTAATATGATATTTTTTATATGATATTCCTTCGTTTGAGGTGGACAAGAAACGATCCCACGGTATCCGAATATATACCTGGAATAAGTTTATTTACTTTTGAAGCGTTTGAAGGTGTTTCATGAAGTGGAAGTCCCCTTCTATCTCAAAAATATTTCTGATAGCATACAGTGCTTAAAAGTACAGCTACTTTCAAGACAAAATTTCTATACATTTTCTTGGCGACATTTAGAATTTTGTAGCTAGCATAGCCAAGACAAATTTAAGAAGAAATTATCCAGAAGCCATTTTTTACATTTATTCATTTCATAGAAATAATTATATTATTATTTTAATAACAATGTGTTTCTATTTTTGCAGAAAAACATCCTTACTCTTAATGGTCAATTTCCTGGACCTTCCATTTACGTGTCAAAAGTAATTTTTCTGAGACCATAAGTCAAGTTAAGCTGTATTATGTTGTGCATATTCGATAAAACTTCGATTTATGAAATCTTCAATTTATGAAAGCTATATCAGAATGTAATCCCACCGTTAACTCACAGAACTTATGTTCAGTATTTTTATCAGATAATCAATCTCTTTCAAATTAACTAATTAACTGGACGTTAACTGCAAATGGCTTTTGAGTAGCTTTAAATGAAAATTTACAATAACACATACCTGGATTATCAGCATGCATAACTACAGTATAGTGGGTACTAGGAGCGAGAGATACTGTGTCTCTAAATTTGCCGCTAATTTGGAACGTATTTCCATGAAAATATGCTGTATGGATGTCAATAGCTTTTCCATATGTAGCTATATGCCAACTAACTTTGTCGCCGACACAGACGTTCAGACCTTCTAGATTTCCAAATACCCTTCCATTGATAGCTGAAATAAAAATGATAATATCAGAATTTATACGCAATGGGAACTTTTTTTCCATCTCTTATTTTTAATCATTTAAATATATTACTTAAGTTCAACTACGTTATTCACGGAATATCCGTTTTAAATCTTCCCATGACTGCAAAATTCCCAATTTTTATTATGATTTGATTCGAAGTAAAAACTGGCTTTCCTTTTTTTCGGAGGGGGGAGGGCAAAAAGGCAATGTTCAGAAATTTTCACTGGGAAAAAGAAATTTAATTTAAATTTAAATGAATTATGTATCTACACTACTACACTACTTTAAAAAATAATTACACAAATAAACCTATGATTTTCATGTTTCATAAACGTAGTTACTTATTAACTGATATTATCATTATTACAAAAACAATCTGGTTTTAGTCATTAATTCTCGTAAAAATGTGGAAAAAAGAGTAAAAGATAGCTTTAAGATTTCTTAATTATAATTCAGAATTTAAAACTGAAATATTAAATTTAAAAAAAATGACAATATTATCCAGTATTTTTATTAGGGCATAAATAGATATAAAAATAATCTTTCAGAATTTTTCTCGAAAATGAAAGTTTCCTTTCGCTGTTGTCTTTTTTGCTTGAATTGAAAACTGAGTTTTTTTTAATTGACCAAATATACCGTCTGCGACAAAAGAGAAAAACTGTCTTTAATGTTTTTTGTCTTATCCATTCTAGAGAGCAGAGATTTCATGAAAAATTACTGAAACTAAAGGCTTCCTTTATTTTTTCTAATGAAAAGTAAAATTAAGGCAAGTGATTGCTTTTCAAAATGAGTTAAAATTCAACCATAAGTTGACATATGTTTTATAGAGAATTCTGTGCGTTTGGGAGAATGACCTGTAGTCTATTTTTTTGAAGAAAAAAATATTAAACAAATAATTTAAATTAAAAGTAAAAAGAAATATTTTTTTTGATAAAATTAAAGTCACAAATACTTTGAAATTCGCAAAGTTTTCATTTTCCTGAAAATAAAATGAGCCAACAAACCGCATTTCTGAAATTCTGAGACGCACTCTTTTCTTTTATTTGTATAAACATCTATAAAACAGGTTTAGTTTTAGAGTTGAAGTAGCTGAGTATAATCCCAGAATTAATATTGCAACATTTCGTTTAAAAAATATTGCATGACCTACTCTCGATAGTTTGAGAAACGATACATTACGGGATAATGAAGATAAAGAGGATTCTGAAAGTGAAATAAATTTTAATTTTGACTGCGAAACAGATATTGATTACAAAATAAATACTGACAGATTATGATGCAATATTTCGAAGAATTACGACGCTGATTATGATATTATAAAATCGATTTAGAAGGATATGAGAAATAATATACCTGCTGATAAATTATTATTATTGTTGTTTTTAGTAAATTGAATTATTTTTATGTACATGAAAGTCAAAGATATGTATGTATCCTTGACTAAGGCTTCTATATTGTTAACCGTATCTGAACCAAGTCTTATCTAAAAATTTATATTACAATTTCTCTATAATTAGGTCGTAATTTTTATTTAGTTCATTTATTTATTACATTTATTTTTTATTATTAAGCCTTGGAGTAGATTTGGCAAAAACTAGAAAATAGAAAGAAAGCCTAAAGATTTTTAGATTTAAACGATCGATTAATAGCAGTCATAAAAATTATAAACAAAGGCTCTACAGCGTATTAATATGATTTATTAATAATAAGCCTAATGTAAATATTTGCTTCCTGTTCACTTGAATATTTGAAATAATTTGATATTAATTATGATTAAGATATTGATATATCTAGAGTTTTTAAAACATCTCGGGAAATTATTTAAGCACGTGAAGTGTTTTCTAAATCAGCCTGGTGGATATTTTAGTATTAATTCAGCCTCTCAAGTGTATATTTTATTCAATCTCATAAGTATGTCTGTTAAATTTTTAAATTTAGTCTGTTAGTTACTCTAGTCGTGAATATAACTGTTAATTTTTTAATTTAATCAGTTCATTATTTTTCAGCTGCTTAAAAAAATATGTTCATTATTCTTCAGCTCCTTAAAATACTCAACAAAATGCAACTGAACACTGTACACCCAAAACGCTCTTCAAAAGCTTGAGCATTGCCAAACACAGTCTGTACTAAAAATAGTTTTGAGGTTTATGTTACGGCTCTTTTTATTAACCAGATGTATTTCTTAGAAACAAAAGCATTTGCTTTAATATCCTTTTATTCTGTTGATAGTAATGGAATTTAAAGCTGCGTCTTAAATAAAGGGTTTCTGAAAACTGAAGAAATACAGTAATATTTTATATGGGTAATCTTCTATGCTTTGGAAATTTTTGGCCATGTTTGGATATTATTTTTAACAAGTTTCCTATTTCATTCTAGAAGCGATCTACCATATTTCACTGATTGTAGCTTTTAGAACTGTCTCAAAATAAATATTTTTCCAGGAGCCAATCTTTTAGCCTTAGTTGAATATTTTACTTTTTTTATTCATTATGGAGTCAGCAAAAAGTTAGTATGAATATATAAAACGAATATTAAATAATCCCCCCCCCAAAAAAAATCTGAAAGGTTTCAGATTTTAAATTACGTCCAAAAGGGGCGTTTTTTTAAAGTTTTGTGTGTTACATTTATTTATTAAATATCATATTCTTTGCACTTAAATCATAAAATTCAGTTCAATAGCAATGTCGCAAAATAATTTTAAAATGAGCCTATCTTTAGAATTTGTGATTCACAGTTCCGCACGCTGGAGATGAAAAGGTTTTTTTTCCCACGGTAGAGTGTTGCCATTGCTCGTTTTGAAATCCTTGAATTGTTAATCAAAAACTCGTTAAAGTTTTACAAAATATGAAATCAATAATAAAACAAATTAAAATTTCAAATTTGGTTTTCCACATGCCCATATTCATAGGAGAATTGCGTCATTCAAAATTCGATGGCTCTATGTACCGTTGTTTTATCACAATGCGAGAAATATATATGCATTTATGCAGATTTTTCATTATTTAATTTCTTCAACTATAATGCAGGACTCTAACATTGGGTGGCAACAGTTTGAAAAGTAAAACGGACATTTATAGTGATTCAACGCAAAATCGCAAAACGAAAACAATAGTCCTTCAGGGACAGAATCCCTTTGAACTAAAAATATATATTCAAGCATACATGATCCCAGAAAAGGCATTTTTACTGTTGTTAAGACAGTTTGAAAAGATATGAGTAAAGAATGCAAGAATTTAATTGCCGACTTGATGTTATTCACGTAACTAAAAATCACGTAAAATACTTAGAAATAAAGACTGTGAAGTTTTGTTTTCGTATAATGTATTAATTATCGCTTTGCATAGACAAATTAGTGTGTGTGGTTATAGCAAAGCCTCGAGGGCTATCGGCCTAAAGGGAGGGATGCCTTCGTGGAGGACTTTCTAAGGGAAACTGGCTCGTATACACGTTATGCATGGGGAAAACCACGAAAACGCCCATTCAGCCAGCCCGTTCGCGGGATTCGAACCTCGGACCGAATTACCAGTGTTTAGCGACTTTACCGCTCGGCCGCTGGTGGGCTATAGACAAATTAGGAAGAACAGTTTGAAATCGGGTTTCGAGTAACTATTACCAGAACTCGAAATTCAGTGTTGAATTGGTGTTATTTAAATGGAATAAAATTAGGAAAAAATATCATGGAAATAATAATATCTAACAAATAACTCGAATTAAGTCGAGTATTTGTAAACAAGCCTAATCTAAATTCTTACAGCATAAAGATTCGGCGATTTCTTCCTTTTTTTCCTTCTTTGTAAATCTTGATATTATGTAACTTTCTTCACAAGTTAGCTGTTTCAAGTATTCAGGAAGAAGGAAATTCTGCTGATTTAATTTTTTGCATTTCCTAGATTTAAGTAATTTAAATATGCAATTGATTTGCTCTGACATCATTCACGGCATTAAGGTATCGACAAGTTAATCATGTGTTTTCTTTATGACTCAAAAGGACAGGTCCATTGATGTGCAACAACAATGTTGCCAATGTTCACTAAGTAAGTTACTGAAGCAGAAACCGTAGCGACTCTGCTAACGGTAGATTGTAAACTAAATGACCTTCTGGACACAGAACGTAACGGAAACATCTCTTATTCCAATGATCAATAGCATGTAAAACGATTACTAATGTACTTTACATAAAATTTTATAATAAACAACAATTTGCGTTTGCTGTTTTAATGTAGTTTACTCTTTATTATTACAGCTTCATCACTGTTTTTATATACCACACGTTATGTATAATCTGTTTTAATATATGACGTTGAATGGTTGCACTGAAAAGTTATGCGTGGATAAATGAAACTGTTAGATAATGGTGCACTAATATAGTTTGTGTAATACAAGTATATCATTAACATAGATAAAATAATAATACTGTTCTTCATACATTATAAACCAATTAAATTGTAATAAATTTGATCGAGTTCGTGGAAAACTGTGAAATAATTTGCTGAGCAGTTGCCTTTTAAAAATAAAAACTCTAAAGTAAGAATTCTTTATCCATCATTTTATAAATAATTTGTGTTCTTGGGAACAAAAACTGCCGTGTGAATAATTTTTTATTTTTAAAATTTTTGTTAGTAAATTTTAACATATCGACTATAATAATTTCAGACCTAGGAAAGTAAGGCATTTTTTTTCAGATACAGGGAAGCAAGGTCTTTTTAGCCTAAATTGTTACTGATTTCCATTAAAAGAAATATTTAAAAATAAATTTCCTCTTTCATATTCCGAAAGGGAAAGATTTATTCTCTTTAGCTATTAGAATTTTTTTTTAGGTAGATGTATAATTATATGCCTTATACCATGAAAACATTCAAAAGAATTCCAAATACCCTTCGGAATATCATATTTCGTAAGAAAATCGTATTAAAATGTTAAATATGCATTCGCATTTCTATGGCTTTTACATTATTTTCCTATTCTATCCATGCTTTATGTCCTCATGCTCTCAACAGTGCGTTTTAATTGTAATGTAAATATAGAGAAGCGTAAGGTAATACCTGACAGAAATTACACTTGATTATTTTTAATACCATACTAAGGTTGCTGTTTTTCATAATTTTAAATTTTACATTGGCGTGTTTCGCTCGCAATTTGAGCCTTGAAATTTTTCATTAAGGATTTTTTAGCTATAAGGAGTAAATTCAACCAAAAAGGAATTAAGGCACGCCACCTATATATATATATATTATTTCAGTAAATGTTTTGTAAATTACTATTTCCATTATGGAAATACAGTAAACAACACAGAAAAATGTAGATGTCAGAATTTAAGCGATGCACATATTTTGCTTAACAATTAAAACATTAAATCAACTATGAAACTTAAAAAAGATATTTAGAAAACAGTATCCATTTTGGAAGTTCTGTGCCAGAATTTCGTTTACAAATCTTGGTATGAAGAATTACCAAGAAATGTTACATTTCTTTTAAAGTAAAGGTTTTCAGTTTCTAAATAAAAATAACCTGAAACCTTATCACATGCTGAGGCATCGGAAATGTAATAATAATACTATATAATACATATGAATGGAAAGAATATTTGAAATATATACCTTGTGTTACGAAATGTCCAGGCTCGGTAAGATAGCTTCCCCGCAAAAGCAGGTTTAGGGTTGCCATAAAGGGCAAGGGAAGGGTTGGCACATTTCGCGAGAAATCGTCCATTTGACGATATTTGGGGACAAAATTAGCGATATGCCATGGTCGGATGGAGAACCTTCTGGAGCTAATTCTTACCGGCTTAGCCCAGAATGTTTTCGAACACAAGCCAAAAACTATATCAACCTTGCTAATACGTGGGGAGTCAGTGCGAGATAGTTAGTCTTGAGTTAGTCAGTCCGTTCGGAGTCGATCGAGTTGACAGCCGGGCAGCGAGTGCCGAGTGGGTCGTCGAGTGCATCGCAAGAGTCTCTTCGTCTATCGCGGTTAGTGCATCGTCGAGAGAGCGTGCTGAGCTCCGGGAACGACTGAATCGAAGAGTCGGGAGCTGTGCTCTGTGTGTCGTCGAGTGCATCGCAAGTTGTAGGGTGGAGAGTCTCGAGAATACGTGGAGTTCTGAGAACGACCGAGCAGAGTCAGGGGCTGTACTCTGGTGCTTTGCAGTGAAGCTGTTTCCACCGTTATAGCCTGATCACCTGAAGGCTGTGTCGCTGATTGTTCCAGCGAGTGTATAGTAGATCTTCGACGACTGTAAAACGTGACTTTGGAGCTGTCCTGATTAATATTGGCTAAATAAAGTGTGTTTTGATACTTCATCAAGTATCGTCGTTATTCACTTCAAATCCACACGAACCCCGAACGTACGGTAACGTCAAGAAAAAGAAAAAATAACGCAACACTTGTGTTAGTTATTAATGACACAGCAAATTATAGGTTGTCATCATTTAATATGCTTCTTTAGAAGATAAGTTATTACCGCTACTTTTCATTATACGATTCTTTTTAAATGCTACAACAGAGAAAATTATTAATTTTAATTAAGTTCAGTATACTTACAATGCATTTGATTTGACTCAATAAACATGGGATCCGTAGTATTGACGAGATCCGGGCGATAAGTATACTCCAGAATATTTTCAACTAGGTAATGAGACTGACTTTCATCCATAACTGAAAATAGTAGGGCGAATTCCCGATCCACATATTTCTGAAAAGACAATAAACCCCTCATTAAACACGAAGTTTTAGAAACGTAATAATCACTTTTGGTACTTGTAATTAAAACTCTTAAGATATAAAATGATAATAGTTAGTGATTTGAAATAAAAGTTCTTAATTAACAGTAAAAATCAGTATAAAAATGTCTCGGTTACACACCAGATTTCTTACGTGATGTATTCAGGGGAATTTTATGATTGTAGCTCTACATTATATTGATATTCTAACATATAAATTAATTTTATGATTTGGTAGGTTTATGTGATTACGCAAAGCCTTAAGGGCTATCTACCTAAGGTGAGGGTTGCGTTCGTGGAGAACTTTTTAAGGGAAACTGACTCGTGTACACGTTACACATGGGGTAAACCACGAAAACGCCCATGCAGCCAACCCGCTCGCGGGATTCGAACCTCGGTCTGAACTACCAGTGTTCAGCGATTTCATCGCTCGGCCGCTGGTGGGCAAACAAATTTTAAATTGCATCAAGTTCAATCAGAATTTCGTCCAGAATCAGAATCAGAATTTCGTTTTCAAATACTATAATACATGTATAAATTAAAGTTCAGATTTCAGTTCAGATTAAAGTTCAGACAGGGATAAATTAAAGTTCAGATAATTCATGTATAAATTAAATTTCAGATTATAGTTGCATCAAATCGGTAACTTAAACGGAAACAAATTATAAAAAAAATAGTATGCTTAATAAGCTTGCATAAGTTAAAACCTAAGTTATTTAGATTTAGAAATCAGATTACAACCAATTTAAACCAAATTCGGTTTATGTTGCATTATTCGCAAGGAAAATTGGCTAAATAGATCTCTAAGCTTATAAATTATAATTGCTTGATTTGATTAAAGATAAAAAAATTATTTAATCATATTCTGACAGAATTAAAAAACTTCACTTAATTGTCAATGTTGATTTATATTAATTTGGATGTAAAATTTCGTACTAGTAATAAAAATAAATATTAAAGTTTCTTATAATATCGGATACAGCATAAAAAGATGCTATTTGTAATTTCAAAAGAAAACTCAAGCATCTAAGAAATAGATAAAAATTATTTAATTTTCTTTCTGTTGCCTGTTAATTCTGATAAATTTATTCCAAAAGATTCATCCAAATTTCTGTAATCGAAAAATGTAAATTAGAGCTTCAATTATTCGGACTGTAGATCTCGGTAAACCCCAATAATTTGAATCATTTTCTTTCTTTCCACTTGTTCACTTATTTCTATTTTGTTTACGAATCCTTAGTATTTTCAACAATTTGAACAAAAAACCGTCAGGTACAGTTTATATTTTTAAGAGGTTACTAACTTAATTTTCAAGAAAAACCTACAAATAAACCTACAAAACCCATAAATCGTGTATTATAATAAACCTATAAATCGTGTATTATAATACGTAATATTATAATAATTATAATCGTGTATTATATAACATAGGCTTACTCTACTTTGTTTTGATTCTATAATATTATTCCTTGACTAATTATAATTTCGATGTTTTGCATTAATAAGAAAATAATACTTTAGATGAATACTTGATAAAAATAATTTTTGCGCTTTTAACATAGCAAAACGACAGCAAAATAGCGTGTTAGTTTTAGGACCTATGTAATGAAAAATTACTTTCATTGTTTTATTTAATTGGAACAAAAATGAGTTTTGCATTTAGATAAGTATAAATAAGTTGATTATTTAATTTTGCAAAGAGAAAGGTCTTGTATTCTGTTTTATGAGAATAAAAAATATTTATTTTATTTAAAATTCATTTTTTTGTTATTCCTCTCATCATCAAAAAATAAAATAAAAATATATCAAATTAAAAAGTACTTCAATCTGACATTAGTATTTGGATTCTAGTTTAACACTGAATATTTTTAAGCTTTTAGTTTAGAAATAAACAGAAATTCAATATTCAGAAAATAAAATTGTATATTTAAAACATGCTGTTCAATATAACAGTGCAAAAGAATAGATAAAACTTGCTATGACATTAATACCATCACAAATTAATGCCACGGGAAGTGTTTTGCACTTATTTACTATTAGTAATAAAAAAATTAACATTTAACTACGCATAACGCAGTTGTTCATTTTTTCACTTGATCGCTTATATGAGGTTTGCACCAAATATTTTCCTCATGTTATGTGACAACGATTCATATTTGCAAGTATACAGAATTCCCATAATGAAAACACTAACACAGATGATTGATTTTAGATATTAATAAAATGAAAAAATAAATTTCCTTCCTTTGCATTATGTACTGTTTTGTCTACATAATATGGACTACCCAATTACGAGTTTTCACCCATAATCGGAAGCCTGTGATCCCAGTGAATCTGGTTCCCAGCGTGTCCCATTGAAGGTCTGTTACACTTGAATTTTATTACAAAAAATAGTTTTTATAATTACCTGTCTTCCTTTCTTGTCTAAGGTACCAGGCCTGCAGGTGAGCAAAGTACCACTCAAACCGTCCCACATATCTCGAGTAACATCTACGCTGGAGTAATAACGCCAAGTAAGACATTCTGGATCAGTCGGTGTTGGACCATATTGTTCCGCTATAGCCCAGTTATATGTTTTAGTTGTTCCAGGGTGTACCGGTGTCGTGTCTAAAAAAATATAAAGGTCAGTTTGAAACATAATGCGGATTAATATTTATTCAAGTAACAGTTATAATACATTGATTGTTTACAGTACGTTTTAACAATTTTTTAATTATAAATTATTTAGCAACTAGCTTGTGAAATATAAGTTTGGTAGTTACTTCATAATAGGTTGACCATATGTGGCATTTTGAATGAAACAATACTATTCCACACGTTCATCAAATTAATAAAAGTTAGTCTTGTAACATTTCTTTAAATACTTCATGCTTAAATATTTCAACAGCAGATCGAGATAAATAACTATGTGTTGATAATGTTTTTACTCATTTTAAAGCTGTGTGTCCTGTTGCGTGTCTGTGCTTGCTGATTGCAACGTAAGAAGTGCAGCATATTTTTTAAATTGTCATTTTACCTTTTTCATAGTTTTTTTGCCACTAATCACGTAAGTAGAAGAGACACCACTCAACATGAGGAAATCGGAAACCTGAAGAAGCTACAAACGCATTTAACTTATTTTATTTAACTGCTGTCACACTAAGTGCTTTTTAAGTTTGATGGAGTTATGGTTAGACTACTTCAAGAAAGTCATAATTCAAGAATTTTATGGTCGACTTTTTGAACAAGTTGACTTTGACAACAGAAAGACAAAAACAAGTGTTGAGAAACTCCGAATGATGCATTTGCTAGCGAGAAAAAGCTGACCACATCAAAATACTTTTGCTATGTAGAGGCTTTAGTCTTCCGAGTAGTTAAACAACGTGAAAAGTTAACTATTCCTTCGCGGATACTTTTGCTATGTAGAGGATAAAATGTCTTCCGAGTAGTAAACGTGAAAAGTTAACTATTCCTTCGCGGATAATTGAACTACTGATATTCTAGTACAAGCTAGATTGTAAACACTAGCATTACAAGCGCACGCAAAAGAGAATTGTTTTAAATCCTGAAATCTAGTATTTTGCGAATTTTATTTTAATAAATATTTATGAAGATAATCTGTACCATGCCATTAATTACAAAAGTTACTTCAGCTTCAAATTTAATTATTTTAAAGTAGAGTTTTACTTCAAAACGTTTAAAAGAAATCAAAAAATCTTTTATTTGTAACAAATAAATAATAATGTATAAATTTTTTCCCGAAAAAATATTTAAAAAATCAGTTACATTTAATTAATAAATGAAATAAGAAAGTTACCATTTAAAATTTATTAATTTTAATAATTTTAATAAATGTAAAATTTATAAAAAAAGTATTTAACTAAATACTTTTTTTTACAAATGTATGAACACTAGCTAGTTAATGCCACAACATATTTGAATTTCAATATTTGGCAGTTTCAGGTTAAGCCTAGTTAAATATTTTAGCAATGGCAAAGCACACTGCTTTTAGTAAAATTTATGGTGCTTACCTGGTCGATAATAAACGCCGTGCGTGTGCATATTATAAGGCTTAGTAGCCTTATTCAGGAAGACGACTTTGATGAGATCGCCTACTTCACCTCTCATGGTGGGCCCCAACATAGCGAGATGAGCTTCATCGTAAGTACGAACTTTTTTCATAGTGAAAGAAGCATCTTTATATTCTCTGTAAACCACTTTTCTGTATGTTCCACCTATTCTTGTCTCATTGCGAACGAAGAAAACCGATGCTTGCCTAGAAAAATAAAACATGTTTACATATTGCTTTCTGTTACATAAAAAGTCCAAAATAAATATCTAATGCAAAATCAGTTAAAGACATGTCCTAAAAAGTATTTTATTTCATATCATAAGTTTAATCTTAATGTTACAATGTAAATTTGAAAATCAAATTAGGCGTGAATTTAGATTTAACATATTTTCTTCAGTAGTCTTTCATTTTTTTTTTAATTTTCGCAATTCTGCTGCTTTATCCTAATTCTGACAGGCAGTATCCAAGCGGATATAATCCGAGGGCTCATATCTCTCTTCTCATAGTACAAATCATGAAAATATGTAAGTGGCCCTATTATACGAGGACAACAGAGACACTACTATGTCCAGGATTAGAGTGTGGGCTTTATAAAGAGTACATTCTGTTTCTGCTAACCACCATATTATCTGAAATCAAATTTTAAATGTTGAGGTATAATCATAAAAGTCTGAAAAGTAACATGGCTTTTTATAGACATATATTAATTATATTGATTTTGTAAGGATTTTGAGCTAGATTAAGTTAGATATTCATGCCTGCGAGCTTATGAAAATTGAGAATTTTTTCTACACTCATAATACTTAAAGTAAAAACACTAATGGAAAACTGTCTCTTTAATTACAGATAAAAAGGACATTTTCAGACTTAATGAATACAGTTTATTACTAAGGCCTCTGAAGATTATGTATACAAAAGTTATTAATATATTAAAGATATGTGTAATGTAATATGATCACTATATATTTATTTATAACATATTTATTTTTTTTACTATAAATCTATTGGAACGTCATATTTGCACTAGATTTCTAGAAATGTAATAACATAATCCCTGTAAATAAAAAGTGGTAATGATTATGAGGAAAAAGGCAAACGTATAGTATGGAAAAATGCAATGAGGAAAAAAGTTACGAAATATGACCTGAAAGACATAAGAACGGAGTGTGTCAGACAAGAATTAAGGTTTTAAAAGTAAACCTATAGGAAAAAAAAAAAAAAAAAAAAAAAAAAAAAAAAGAACAGTCTAAGAGAAAATTTCAGATTTTTCGTATGAACTATAAAAATCTAGAACATAAAGAGGTAGGACGGTAGAATATATTTGGCTAAAAACCCTGTTGAAAACTATAAATTCCAAATCAGATTTCCGTTAATTCCATAAACGTTCTTATAATAAGTTTCTTCAGAAAACAGTACAAGATAATAAGTTTCTTCAGGAAATAAGGATAATAAGTTTCTTCAGGAAATAAGGATAATAAGATTTCTTCAAGAAAAGTGTACTTTTCTTCTGTAAGCAATGACATCCCGTAAGAAGTCCTAAATCTAACTTAAATTTCTAAGAAATAGATAATAAATTTTCTAGAATAAATTTATAAGGTAGACCATTTTTTCTTTTCATTTCTTCATATGAGCTTGAAAACTGTTATAGAAACTGATTTAATGTGTTTAAATAAAAAGTAGAGTAATTTTGTATTGTTGGCAACTTAAATGTTAGTCAAATGGTCAGAAAGCAGAAAAGTCTAGTGAAAACAAGATTAAATCTTTAAGACTTAACCTATTACTACAAATTATTAAGCTACGATATTAATTAATGATATTATAAAAATAATTAATTCCTTTGGGGATAAATTTTAGCAGCATTAGAAACATATATATACACAGCCCTCCAAAATTAAGACATAAATATGTTCCAGGCTATAGCGTTTAAGACATATAAGCCATAGTCTGAAACATAAAACTCTGCGAAGATATACATAACATAACAATTTATAATTGTTTGCAAAAAATATCGATGTATTCTATATCTATGCTACGTTTCATGTTAACTTCTAAATTTTGCACCCATGGAAAATTTTGAAGCATTGTTTTGCAAAAATCACATGAGTGATGTAAAAGTGGCAAGTTATTTTTTAATCAAAACTGAAAAATAAATTTTAATACGAAACAGGCTATCTCTGGCTTGAATACAAGTTTGAAGCTTATTTATGATATCAATCAAATTATGAGAGACTTCGATTGGGAGTAAAACATATGAACTTTCATTACAATTTATTTAATGATCTTGAAACGAATGCCATTTGTTTCATTTGTTGAAAGTAGTTTTAGAATTGTTCTGTTATGAAGTTTGCCGACCAAGCTGACCGTTTTAATTCGTTGAAGTCTATTATCTTTACGTTTTCGATTGAATCCAGCAGTCTTTACATTAGGCACCATAAAATTAAATTAAATAAATCTCTACTGTATCAGCTAATGGTCTAATATTCTGATAAAGTATTTCTTTATGACATATCAGATAATTTATAGTTCCACCAACAAAAACATGGAGGAGAGTGTGGAAGTTCAAAGATGTTTTTCCCAAAATGATATATTGTCTCCTTTGTTAAAAAACTTTGTTAAGTGTCACTTTCAAGAATGTTGGACTTAACTTTGTTAAGTGTCACTTTCAAGAATGTTGGATTATTTATAAAGTTCTTTTTCCTTTATTATTAACGAGCCAGTGGAATACACAAAAGGTAGTTGCACTTTTCAGAGTTTAAACTCTTTCTGACTGTAGATACACAAACAGATATCAGTCATTTTGATGCTATAAAATTATAAGTGACAAGTTGAGACGCAGTTGAAACCATCATCAAATCACTTCTAGCGGACGACTTTCTACTGATATTTTTTAAAGTTAAACATGGATTGATTCTGGAGTTTACTGACCGTATTTTGAACAGCAAGTCATCAACCAGCGTTTCAGAAATTAAAAGCCCATTTCCAACTAGTGACTAATCTGAGATACTGGGTACAATATTTTAGATGCAGTGGTACGCTATCTGTAAAAACACTTTACCAGAATAAAAACGATTATGCACATAATCAGGCTACACTGTTCGGTTTTTTTTCCCTAGAAAAGTTTGCTTGAAACTTCTAGTTTTCTAAATGCTGTTTTCAGTTTGCATTATTATCATTAATGTTACAATATTTCATGTTCTTATCATTACGTTTTAAATGTTACAGAGAAAAATTTATGTTTCTTAACTTTTGAAGGACAGTGTACGTTAAAAATTGTAAAAATAACTTTTTGAATTTAATTATTATTCAGCAAAAGCGTTTATTAACAGCAAAAAAAAAATTAAAAGTATATTGTGCCGCATCATTAGCAGTATCTAGAAGTATCTAGCATGGATAATTTAATATGTGGATTTTATCTAAGAAACAAAAACAATCTTATCTTTACTTACTTATCTTGTTCTAAAGGCATTCCATTGAATTTATTGATACCGGATGGGGCATAATCCCATTCAACTTCCTCAGCAGCGATAAAGTATTCCCTAACTTTTCCAGTCAATTTTGGTGCAACTTTCCTAGAATGTGGACATACACTAATGGAGAAGGTTGATTCCATGCCAGCTACGAAAAAAATATCAGTGAATTAATAAACAATGAAATGCTATGTTCGAAATGAATTTAACAGTCATGTCAAAGCAAACGACTTTAATTATTAATGCATGACGTATTAATGCATCGTAATAACTTCATTCAATGAAAGCATCCAAATTAAGCAAGGTGGTTATTAATCATATGAGTTTAAAAAATATTTACATATTTTTTGTTGAATAGGAAAGAGGATGTTATTCAATATATGTTTATATTTAATAACTGACAGCTGCTATACATATAAGATTTTTTAACTCAGGTGGCAGTTCAGAATGTATATACTACAAAAAGAAGGCTGGAATAACTAATTAAGACATTTTCTTTTAATTCACTCAACCGCTTCTAACTCAACGTTACCAGGAACTCATTTTCTGCTTAGTGAATTAATGTTTTGCAAGAATTAATGTTTGCTGCTGTTGAAAGTTCTGCTTTTCAATTCGTGAGTAGTAGTTTAACACTTTTCAAAACAGGAAAAGACTACTGACGGATCATTCTGGAAAGGCTCCCTTATAAGTTTATGAATAAAAAAGGCGTATATGATGGGTTAAAAGTTCGATGCTGATATTGTGCATGTCAAAACAACACATTAGAGGACAAGTAAGTTATCTAAATCTTCATATAAATAAATATTTAACTTTTATATAAAGTACTTATATTAAAACTAAAATGATAATTTTTGCTGTTCCCGGGGAAAAAAGAAAAGGGGATAAGTCGATTGATAGGAAATTGATTAATTACTGCGAACCATAATCATCTTAAATGTCGCTTTTAAATTGCAGCAGTATATTATTTATCAACAATAAGAATCCAATATATATCTGAATAATAAATACTTTTATACTTTGAATGACAACAATGTTTTCAATTAAATGGCTACAGTTTAGAGAGCAGCTTTCAGGCAGAGATTTTCTCATTCCTGCTTTTAAATGCAAGTATGGTTTACTTATTTACGTTCCTCAAATGATTCTGTTTAAAAAAATAAAAGTCAATAAAAATGATATCCTTTTTCTTATGGCGGGCACTAGCCATTTTAGGCTTTATGCCACTATTAAGGTCAGAAGCGGAGGGTATTTTATTATTCAGGCACATTATAATCGACTACTGTTACTTCCTATGAAGGGGCAGATTATTTACATCCGTGCCATCTCCGAGAATCGAGCCAAGATCCTTCGGTACGACAGATAAAGTCACTAACCACTTTCCCGCTGAGCGGCGCGGGAGTAATAAAAGTAAGGCAGTTGTAGTCCAGGAGGAGCGAATACCAATAATTGCTAACCAATTTTCTTTGAAAATGTGAAAAAAAATCAGAATTGTGAAATAACTTAGAAAAGCAATGCATATGAAGAATCTAGTTTAAAGTAATTTTGTTAACGTCGATTTTCCAAAAAAGGTACCTTAAATGATTATTCTCTAAAATTCAGAAGTAATGAGAAAATTTTATCATTTTAAAATCAATTTCAAACCTCCTGTTTTAATTTTTTGATATATTGATTTAAATATTTGATTTTGACGTATCAAAAATATTCTTAGTCATTTTGATTACTTTTTAGAATTTTAATTTAGAAGTTTTGATTCATTGTCTTACGTGTTGCATTTATATTCGTTGTAACTGATAAATATCAATGTGAAAAATAAATGAAGAAATTAATATCTCACCGACGCCGTGAATTCCAACTTCACATCTAAAAGGAAATACCCCTTCTTGGCTAGCAATCATGAGACTTGTCACGAATTTTGCAGGGAAAACGCTGATGATGTCCGTTCTGACAAAAGAATATAATAAAAATAATAGTTATCATTAATTGAGAATGTGATTTGAAAATCAGCATAATATCTAATGAAAAAAAGTATCTTAATAAAAAATTTATATTTCTAGATATCTAGTTATTTGATTGACATTTCAAATGCAGAAGTATGCAAAATAATTGATACAGTTTCAGATGAGCATAATTTCATACCTATTAGCATGATATTAATTTGATGTGTATCAAATGAGAAGGAAATTTCTGAGGTTTTAGACAGCTAATTAGATAAGGAGTGTTACTATTTTTGTGGCTGCGAGAAGAACAGGTATTGGGAAATATGATAATGACAGAACAAAAGGCTTTTTGTGTTTTGTAGTTTTCGAGATCTCACCCCCTTTAATAAATAGTTTCTTTTACAAGATATTAGTGATTCCGGTGAGCAAAATAAGGATAATGACTCGAGTACGAATTTGGCTAAAAGCAAGAGAACCTAGTGTTTCCATAACTGTCCTGCAAGGCTACAAGATCTTCATTTGTTTGCGTTTTCAGTGTATCTTAATGTGTACATTAAAGATTCGTGATGATTTTACTTTACTCATATGGAGAGAATAAAAAGGATATGCTGAAAGAAATGTGGCAAGAACTGATTATAGGACTGAAGTTGTTCATTTTACTGAAAGTAATCTTATAGGGCAAATAAATGTAAGTAAAACATTGAAAATTTTACTTTCATTCCTTGTCAATGTGTTCTTATGAGTTTAAAAATAAAGTCATCTGGAATCGGATCAGTAATTTTGAATTACTCTGCAATTTGTGAGATTTATTTAATTTATGCACGAATCTTTCCAGTGACTAAATATACAAAATTAATTTTCTTACGTCATTCCATTGACAGTAAAGACTTGTCCTTCAAAGCTGATGCTGTGAACATCTACTTCATTTCCCATACCAACAATGTGCCAACCTACTTTATCTCCTAAGCACATATCCAAACCGTGAAGATTGCCAAAACTCATGCCGTTGACAGAGAACATCATGTTTGATCGCTGTAAATGAAACACAGTTAAATTATAAAGTAGACAATATTTGGCAATTAAAATACTATTTTATGTAAGTATTCTGAAAGTTGATCTGAAATTAATTAACGATGAAATACTACAAAAGGACTAACTCTGAAATTGATGTCTGTTCTTATTTTTCTCCTCTCAGCTTCACTAAGATCTGGAGCAACCCTGTCGATGTTTTCATCAATATACAAACTGTCATTTTCATCAAAAATCATAAAAACTAGAATAAAACTTCTGTCAACATTCTTCGGTCTGTCATATACATCCAATGTACCTATAAAAGTGATAAAGTGTTTTTGTTTTAAGGAAGTTAATAAACTGTTCATATAATAAATGTATAAATTATGCTAAAGTATACATGGAAAGGTAAATCTTAAAAGAGATGTTAAATAGTTAACTAATACATGAAACAACTTTTAAAGCGAATAATCACTTAATTTAGAATATAATAATTTAATACTACTACTTTTTACCCCAAATATGAAATTTGTTCTGCATCCAAGTAAATTTCCATTTTATAATATTTTGTACGCAATTTAAGCACTTTTTCAGTTAATTGATTTATATGACGAAAACTGCTAAACATATCTTCTTTTGAAACAACACTATTAAAAATGTAGTTTTAATCTGAGTTACGGTGATCATTATCTCTCAGCTAAAAGATAATTTTAATCCTTAAATTTATATTTCCTAGAAAAGAAACCTCCTTTTCCAAGTATTCGAAATTATCCAAATATATGCTTAGAAATAACATTCAGAATTTTACATTTCAAGCTTAATTTATTGCGCCGTTGTTTTAAAACTTATTACGATACTTCCGTGATCTTTTACGCATTAAAAACTAGAAGACGAACTTGCTTTTTGAAAAAGCGAGAAATAAAAAGCAAAAAAATTATGAAATTGGTGATACATTGAATAATTTACACGTAACAATTTTTAAGCTTAACTTCAATTTGGGATAAATAATTGCTCAGATAATATAATTTGTAAAGAAGAACAGGATATACACAAAACTAAAAAACCATCATCCTAAGGGAGATTCATTGCAACTGTTTAGAGACATTTAAAATAAATTAATTTTAAGAATTTTTTTTAGTATAACTGTAATGCATTTATTAAACATTTCACTTGAAACATATTTAATATAAGATTTTTGTTTTGTGAATGAAGATGAAGATTTGCTCTTTTAGCCGTTTGCATTTTAAATTAATTTGTTAAACTTACAGACTTTCTCTGAGAAGGTTTTTCACTGAGAATTATTTATGTTACTCTATGGTTGGAAACCTGCTAAACTATACTTTATGTAAGGTAATCCAGGTAATTTTCTTTAAAGAAAGTATTAAATAAAGTAGATTGTTTTATGCCTACTACTTTTAGAGATTAAATGTGTTGCATGGAAGTTACTGACCAGGTCTGCAGACAATGATAGGTCCCAGCAGACCAGCATGAATGTCGGTGTCAGCATTTCTATGTGAGTGGTACATCCATGTGAGACAATCAGGATCTGTAGGAGAGGGACCATCTTCAGGGATGAAGAACCAGTGATAAGTATGGTGTCCACCAGGAGGTACTCTATCATCCACCTTCTCTGATTCATCTGTATTGTCCTCATACAAAGCACCTGTAGGAAAGTAGAAGAGATCAGTTTATTCTATGTTTAAAATTAGTTAATTGTTTCGAAATGAAAACGTTAATTTGCAATAATTGCTTAAAATTATGCATAGAAAGAAAGAAATTATAAGCCTAAAATCAAAAGATATCACTGAACTTCATTCCCCCGGATCAATACGTTTTCTTTCGATGGTATTTAAACTTAAGCTTGCTGTTAATTTATCAAATGCACTTTAAAAATATTTGTTGCTTTTAATAATATAAAATTGTAAAACGATATGCAACTTATACATATATATATATGACCAAAAACCGACAATGAAAGCCTGAAAGAAATTAAGCCTGAAATCCGGAGAATGTGGACATTTTCAGGTAAATGTCAACATTCACTTACTCGCTTGGTGTATGTCCGACATATTTCCTAAGTACCCATATTTCTCAAATACCCCGGCAAATGTCGACATTCATCATGATTGATCGTGAATGATGTATAAAGATATTTTTGTTACGTTTTAAATTCTACTTGATTATTAAACCATATTGTGATATATGCCAAAATACGAGAAATCTAAAGTAAGAGCACATTCAAATAAAATGTTGCCCTGAAAACGAACAATATGTTCTAAATAAGAAATAAAATAACATTTAAAAAATAAAAAAACTGAACGTTTTCAGATTTTATATTACGCCCAAAGGGACTTTTTTAACGTTTTGTGTGTTACCTTTATTTATTAAATATTATGTTCTTCGCACTTAAAATTCAGTTCAATATCGCAAAATAATTTTAAAATGAGCATATCTTTAGAATTTCCGATACACAGTCTCTCGCGCTTGAGATAATTTTTTTTTCCGTACAATGTTACACTGCTCGCTTTGAAATCTTTGAGTTTGTAATCAAAAATTCGTTAAAGTTTTACAAAATATGAAATTTCAAATTCCAAATTAGGGCTTCCAGATGCCCATATTCTGTGGAAGATTACGTTATTCAGAATTTGATGGCTCGAGGTGCCGTTCTTTTATCACAGTGCAAGAAACATACATGCATTTATGCAGATTCTTCATTATTTAATTTCTTTAAATATAACAGAGGGCTCAAATATTTGGTGGCAAAAATTTTAAACGTGAACCGAGATTTACAGTAAACCAACGCAAAATGCCAAAACGAAATTAATAGCCCTTCTGGGCCAACGCCCTTTGGACTAAAAATAAAAAACTTACTTAGTTATGTGATTGACGTTATACAATTTTATTTACAGAAACAACTTAAACTGTTATGATATTTTGAATTACACAAGTGTCCCTTTTTTACAAAGTCTTTCTGTCTGTCTTCTCAGCTTCTCATTTCGACCACCAGAACATATTTGTACTTTTAAGTATACACTGGTGATAATCCGAATGCGTTAGGATATAAACATATATTCGACCTTTCACCGATGTGTATGATATGTATTGACATTTACCGAAGAATGTCAACTTTCTGCAATTTCGGTCTTTTATGGTAAGATATATCTAGTAAATCTATGCATAAAAAATCAAAATATGAAGAACAATTTATTACCAAATTAAACTTAATTGGAACAGTCCTTTGAATTCTTAATTTTAATTCCATACCTCCCATCTTCAAGCCTCTATATTGCACCATTTTATATCACGGGTTTTACATTATTTTAAATTTAGAGAAAAATTTATTACCGATATCAACTTAATTGGAGCAGTCATTTAAATTCTTAATTTCAATTGCATCCCCTCTTCAATGCTTCATGTTGCATCATGTTACATCACGCTTTCCCTCAACAACCGCTCTGCGAAATCTCTTGCAAAATCGTTGCTCAGGATTAAGACATATTTTCCGAACTTATGTAAACACTACTGCAGTTACACATAACTTTATTGCAGCTTGCTGTGCCAAGGAAATTCACGTCTCCTCGCTAAGCTTCATTTTCTATTGTCTAAAATGTGAACTACATGTAGAGAAATTCTGGGGCATGTTTAGCAACTCTACTGTTGTACTAATTTAAGCTAAAATGTATTTCTAAGAAGTTGTTCCTGTTAAAAAAATGATATTTTAACAATCAATCATCTGCACTTTTCGCTCCAGTCAAATAAACACAGCAGTTTTTCTCGGCCGTGACTAAAAATGAATTGGTATCATCTTTCACAAAACTACAACATCGTAATTTTACATTTACTTAAATTATACATATTTTTTTAGTTAAATTACGGTAAAAAAAAAAGAAAAAAAAAAAGCCCCCCCCCCGAAAAAAAACCCTGAGAAAATTGCTGCAAAGATATATTTGCGATATAGTAATAGAGAAAATATATATATTACATATATATATATATATACGTTAATTTTTGGTCAATTCCTATATATATATATATGTAGGAATTGACCAAAAATTATATAATCGGGTTAACAATAAATAAGAGAAATATATAGTTTGATTATAATTATTAGGAATGCTTCCTTACAGTTGGAAACAAGAATTAAAATTCAAAGCTAGATGTAAGACATCAGCAGTTTTGTATTTTGTGCGTCGTATGTGTATTTGCTGTGTGTTCAGTTCCATTAAAATGTCTTTGTAATCAAGACGCCCCATAGACTGAACTTATGCCGTCCACATGGACTCTACAAATTAACACAAGTGGGAACTTACTTTGCAGCAATTGTGCAAGTAGTAGTAACTTAGTAACTTGTTTTCGCACTAAATGAATTTAAGATCATACCACATATTAATATATATATATATATATATATGCCCCAAAAAACCTTAAAATTAGTGAATTTCAAAATTTATTCAGAAGGACGAAATGATCAAATTCTGAGCAATTGCTGCAAATATATATTTGCAATATAGTAATAGAGGAAAAAAAGGAAATTATCTTATAGATAAAGGTTAATATAAAAAATAACTACGTCAGACTTTACATATAAATGTACAATAGGCCCAAAATTAAAGAATAATTTTTTTTTTAAATCTAGAGTTTATGTTTTTTATTTTCGTAACTTTTTGCATTAAGTGCTTTTATTTTATCATTAAATTGCATTTTGAAGATTAAATTCTATATTTAATTTTTAGAGGTCTGAATTCGAGTTGGAGGTATATCCTTGACTGTTTGAAAATGAGGTTAAGAAATTTTGTATACATTTTTTAATGACTGCTTGGCATTATAAATGATTTGTTGTTTCCCTCAAATATTCAAAAAGAGTGAGAAGCATTTTCAGAATTCCCAAATATTCGTATTTAAATTTTGAAATAATTAGCCCCTGATTAGTCAGTCTCAAAAATTAAATAATGAATAACTGGAAAAATTTTAATTCTTTCTTAAATAAAAAAAGGAATTTGACATTTAATTTATATTTGGAGTATTTTAAAATTTCTGTTTTTTAATTGCTCTATATTTTTACTAGTTTCAGTAGACCTTTTTAAATGCAATTCACACTTTCCTGGATAGAATAATCATTAATTTTTGAAAAATTAAATTTATTATATCTCAGCTGCATTTGCGCTAGTTTCCTAAATTTTGCTCTTGTTCTGTGAGTGTGTATGATTTTATTGGTATATAATACGTTATCAAATTTCGTACAAGAACGTGCAATTAGCCAAATATGTAGATTTTCAAAAATATGTTATCCCATATCACTTTGCAAACATACTACTTATGAAAATTAATGAAAAAGCAGGTATATGTAGTTCTCTTTTTTACTAGGCGAGTCATTATTTAGCCACAAAAAGTGCGTCTTAAAGACTGCTAAATTATCATTTTTGTACTTTCTCTCACAACGAAGTTTTTTTTTCAATCAGGTAACTGCAGTCAGGAAATTCTTTTGTTGCAATCTGTATGGATTGCATTAGATTGCTACATCGGATTTCGAATTGAATTTCTTACCCTTGAGGTTTGAGTATTATATTTAAAAATTTAAAACCTAATATGTTCCTCTGAAAATTTTTTATTTAATTAATAAGAGCAAATAAAAATATATTCCCCTTGATAATATTAGAACATAAACATATTCGGCAAGAAAATAACCGAATTATCAGGAATTTTCCAGTTAGTTTTCTTGGTTATGTTCTCAATTATTTCTTATAAAAAGAATTTTGTTTTAATTTCTTTTGTGAACAGTTTATAGAAAGGACCTGCATATAAGACGGTCAAGAAGTTTTAAAGGTGCTTACGTATAAGATTTTTTGTCAAATACAGAAAGATTTATATACAGCTGTTAATAAGTATTATATAAAATAATCAGTGTGAAACAGTTATGATTAATGAAATGAGCCCTTTTTATTCTTTTAATTGAAAAAATAACTTTTATTGAAGGTAAATTTTATTTCTTATGTAGGAAACATGTTAAAAATTTAGACAAATTTCAAAAACATAATGCAGTAATAATGACAAAGCACAAGAATTTTCGTAATGTAAAAAGTAATAAAAAGAGACGATCATAACTTCAGATAAGATCTTTTTTTCTAGAACAATGATAGGAAAAGTCGAAAATGGAGAAGTGGATTACAAAGAATAAAATTCATCAAAGGCAACTTTTTACTTTCTTAAGTAGTTCGTATTCACAATGGCTTTAGTTGCGTGTCAAAGTTTTCAATAATGATAGCTCCTGCCTTACAATGCTGTTAATAATTCAGTTTTCCTACAGGAAAAAATTGCCTTACAACATTTTTTTCTAGTGAAAATTATTTGTTCTTGAATTTTTTGCTCCAGTTTGGATAGAAATGAATGAAATATGCGTAGAAGTAAGTTTTATATTATAATAATTGTTCTAAATTTTGAAATGGGAAGAAATAAAAAGAAAATTGTAGTTTAAATTTTTATATTCCGCTTACAACATGATAATTGACATAACATGTATCTTTTTGACTGCACTGAATAACAATCAATTAAAAAAGAAAGGCAATGATTCTTTTAGCACCTACAGAAAGATTAAAACGCCCTTCAAAGGTACTCCAGGGTTAAAAATTACACTTATTATACTCGCAACTTGCAACGAAGCACAGT